AGATTTTTGCTAGAAAATAATATCTCGGGATACAGTATATAGTTTGGGACACGACCTGTCAAGCGACTGCCAGGATGGTGGAAGGCAAACTGGATGGACCTTGGTCTTCTTTCGCCAGCAAGTTCTTATGTTCCTTAGTTCCTCTAGTCCACATTTGGACCAGCTCTTTATAAATGGCTCCAGTTCACCACAGCTTTGAGATCACCAAAATAATCCTAGAAATAACAAAATAGCATAGCTATGCCATAAATCAAGAGATATTCAATCAAGAATATCAACCAGTGAGCGGAATTAAAAAGGAGCAAAACCTCATCCCATTAAACAAAGAACCTATGTATTATTTGGATTGTAAAATAAGTCTTTTATTGATCTGCTTTGAGAAATGTGGGAGCTGACACTAGGGTTAATTCCGTGCTTGCTCAGTGGAGCGAATCTTTCAATGTGCTATAAGGTACATTGGAGATAGTGGCAGATTGATCCCTGAAGTGAGCGGAGGAACTCTAATGAAAGTGAAGATTCGACAGAAATCTCGTACATTTCTCAAACCCAACCTCATCAGTTATACAGTTTGATTTGGATGAAGAAGGTCCTTTGGTCAAATTGATCCTGGACTCAATCACCCTCCCTGGTAACCTGTTAAAGTCATGAATTACCCACTGGGTTTTCCTATAATTATAATCCTTGCATTTTGATATAGTATCTTATCACATTGTTGAGATGTTTCAAAGCGATACACTGTAAAGTGGATTGACTGTGTATTTTGGGGGCAATTGCACACAATAGTGTCCTGCAAACAGTCGTGGATTGAGTGACCCCATTTTTTTTGTGGGGGAGGGATTATTATCTCTGGAAAGCGATCCGCCAATCAACTATCCTGGTGTCTGTCTTGAAGCTGCCCTTTGCTACCCTGAACCTGTGCCCACTAGTTCGGCTGCCTGGGTACAATATCAGGAAGGATGTGGCGTAAGGGAACCCTTGTACCAGGAAACATATGAAGCAAGACTTTCCGTGACCCAGAACTCAGTGCGTCACTCCAGATTTCAGTCTCTCAGTGAGTTCAGAGATTCTGAGGCCTGATAATTCTCATGGTCTTAATCTTAAGACAATAGCCTTAACATTTGTGAATAACTGTGGATAACTTTTCAAACCAGCCTCAAGTTCGGAAGCCGGTTTCCACAGTTCTTTTTATGGATACTATGGAAAGCCAATGCTAACAACAACAATTTGCATTTATGTAGTGCCCTTCATGGGGGACAGCATCTCGGAGCGCTTAACAGCAGTGGAGCCGGGGGAAGGGAAGGAGGGAGGAAGTGACTATAAGCACGGTCGAAGAGGAAGGTTTTCAGCTGTGATCTTAAAGAGGGGAAGAAGGGGGCAAGGCGGAGGGATTGGGGGAGAGAGTTCCAAAGCTTTGGGGCATAGTGGCTGAAAGCATGACCGCCGATGGCGGAGCGGAGGGGATGAGGGACGAGCTGGAAGCCAGAGCGAATTTCAGACTTATTGCAAAATCTATGCACAGTCGTAAGTGTAAAGACATTTTAAATGTCCTTGATGCTGAGGCCAAGAGGAATTTTGGGATCTCTGCTCTGCGCACTCTGCCACCCAACCTGCCTTACATAATGAAAAGACAGGTTACAGTGCAAGCTAATACATTCATGGCTGAACTTTGCTATCTGGAGACTAAATGAGCTGACCTGCAGTCTTACAATCATTATATTAGGAAGGCTCAGCGCACCGAACTTTGTACTCATATGAAGTGCCTTCCTAATTGCTGGGCAGCTTAAACTTGTAGTCAGCAGCGACTGTGGTATTTACAGCCGGGAGATAAGAGGGCCTTAATGTGGAGTCAGCAGCTGGATGTGTACTTAACACTGCTTCAGCTCAATAACATTCCATGCACCGGACCTCGGCACTCTCACATCCTCCGAGCATGTGGGTAGGTGAGAGTGTGTCGGAGGGGTTTGCCCCCCACCGCCCCTCACACACTTACATGTGCTCTTGACCATTGCGTCCACCCACTGCACTGAGATTGACCACCCAGAGGTGGAGTGAGACAGGAGGTCAGGCAGCAACGAGCATCTTGTTACTGTGATCTGGTCAACCGTGAGCCATTTCCACTCCCATCAATTGTTCCCACTGTTTTCCCAGTCATTTGTGTGCCAACGGGGTCTGAATCTTTGTATAAGGTAGCACTCCTAGTGCCAGTGTGTGATCAGTACTCAGTGTGTGATCAGTACTCAGTGTGTGATCAGTACTCAATGTTTGATTAGTACTCAGTGTATGATCAGTACTCAGTGTGTGATCAGTACTCAGTGTATGATTAGTACTCAGTGTATGATCAGTACTCAAGTGATCAGTACTCAATGTTTGATCAGTACTCAGTGTGTGTTCAGTACTCAATGTTTGATTAGTACTCAGTGTATGATCAGTACTCAAGTGTGTGATCAGTACTCAATGTTTGATTAGTACTCAGTGTATGATCAGTACTCAATGTTTGATCAGTACTCAGTGTGTGTTCAGTACTCAGTGTGTGATTAATACTCGATGCCAGTGTGCAATTTGCTGAACCTTTATTAGAACTGGAACTTATTTGAAGCTTAAGGATTACGATTCAAATCGTTTGCAAAGCGGTGAAACTCTCGCTGTGTCACGCAGCAACATCTGCTGCCGTCTGCTTCTTGTCAACTGTATCAAAACCTTTAAACCTTCAGCTATTGTGGAAAGCAGCCGTTTCCATAGGGAGAGGGAGAGAGAGAGACTGAGGAGGTGCTTCACACAGTCTTTCCAGCTGCTCCTTATCCTCCCTGACTCAGCACTGCACTGCACACAACGCACATTTTAATCTAGTTAAAAGTAAAACCGTTAAACTCGCCTGACTTTGATTAACATTTTATCATACGGTCGTTCTTTTTAGTTCCCCTCCTCCCACCGCACTCCCTCTCTCCCGAACATCATCACCACCGACCCTGAGCCAGGAGCTGACAAAATACTGCAATGCATCAAAACCATTCTCCATTTGCCTGCACTCAGCGCTGTGCGCTGGGCGAAACATGCCAGCCTGGTCTCTGCACCAGATCGTTGTGTCGTTATGAGATTCTCCACGTTCACCCGAACAAGCATTAACATTGGTTAACCCCTTGTGTCAGCCTGGCTCAGTGGTAGCGCTCTCACCTCTGAGTCAGAAGGTTGTGGGTTCAAATCCCATGTTGGGACTTGAACTCACGCTGTGAGGGGCGTGGTTGTATTGTCGGAGGTGCCGTCCTTTGGATGGGACGTTAAACCGAGGTCCTTGTTCAGGTGGACGTTAACCATCCCACGGCGCTATTCGTAAAGAGAAGGCAGCTTCTGTCTCCCAGTGTCCTGGCCAACAATCCCCCAAATAAAATTGGTCACTCACTCCATGGCTGTTCGTGAGACATTGCTGGGTGCAAACTGGCTGCCGCGTTTCGCCCACAAAATACACACTGACTTTACAATATACCCTAGAAGGGAATAGAGGGTATAGGAGAATACTTTGAAATGTCTCGATGACGTGGTGAGGCGCTATATCAAATGCAAGGCTTATTATTTTTGTTATCAAGTTTTCTTTTGATGCTTTCTGCTTCAACCACAGCTTCCGGCATTGTGGGTTCTCACGTTCTCACGCCCTCTGTGTGAGAAGGTTCCTCCTGAACTTCCTATCAAATTTCCGACATGAAAAGCGCTCTATCAAATGCAAGGATTATTATTATTATCAGATCTGCCCAGAGCTATCTCTTATATCTTTACCAACAAGTGCAAACAGTCGATCAACACTCCACCTTGATCTTTCATAATCTTAAAAGCCTTGATCTGGTCCCTGATCTCCCAGAGGGGAGGCAAGGGATGGTTCCTGTGAAGTCCAGACAGATGTTCACTTTGTATATATCGCTGGAATCCTGTAGCTCAGTGGTTAGAGCACTCGCTTTGCAAGTGAGAGACCTGAGTTCAATTCCAGGCAGAGGGCGAAACCTTGGGCAAGTTTCCTTACTCCACACAGAGCCTAATAATAATCCCTCCAAAACCAAAAACAATAATAAATTGGTCATTTTCAATCTACGACTGTTTGTGGGACATTGCTGTGCGTAATTGGCTGCCGCGTTCGCCCACAAATATACAGTCAATTCACTTTACTGTGTGTTCTGTGAAGCGCTTTGGGACGTCCTCCCAACGTGAAAAGCGCTATATCAAATGCAAGGATTATTATTATTATTATATAGGAGGTTAGTCCTGGTCTGACACCTTAACCCTGTGCCCTCGACCAGTCACAGTAACAACAACAACAAAATTACATTTGTATAAGCGCCTTTAACATTGAGAGGACGTCCCAAGGCGCTGGACAATCAATGTTTCGGACCCGAGCTGGGGGTCGGGATCGGGGAGAATGGGTGAAGGGAAGGAGGGTGATTGAAGGCACAGTCGAGGAGGAGGGTCTTGAAGGAGGCAAGGGAGGGGGAGAGGCAGAGAGACTGTGGGATGGAGTTCCAGAAGGTGGGGGCAGAGTGGCTGAAGGCACAATGGCGTGCTGCAGTCAGACATGCTCACGTCATGTGAATTTCTTTCCTGTGGTGTGTGTGTGTGTGTGCGTGTGTGCACTAATATCAAACGGCAGCCTTGAAAATATGCCTGCCCCGGGCATAATCAACAACAACAACTTGTAGCGTCTCAGAGCTCTTAGTCACTCACTCCACCACTGTGTGGGACACTACTGTGTGCAAATTGGCTGCCACATTTCATCCACAAAATACACAAAATCACTTTACAGTATATCCTGTGAAGCCCTTTGAGACGTCTCAATGACGTGATAAGGCGCCATATCGAATGCAAGGATTATTATTGTTATAATCAGGACAGAGATCATGTGTTTGTGTGTGGCCTTTTCCTGTTCCGTGTTCCCTTTACCTTGCTGAGACTAGGCAGTGTCTGTGTGAGTGGCTCTGAGCGATGCCCATCCTAACCTTTCCCCTCTCCCATGTTCCCAGGGTTTCACACCGACCCACGACAGCATGGCCCAGGATGTCTACAGTAACGGCAGCGCCAACTCCTCCCCGTACATGAACGGCAACAGTAAAGAGCACGAGGCGCAGAGCGTGAAGAAGGTCCGACTGGTCACGTTCCAGAAAAACTCCAGTGAACCCATGGTACATTAGAGAGAGTTCGCTCGTCTTTGCTCCGTGTCCTTGCTCTGACAAACAGCTCGCTCACACACACATACATACACTCAAAGGCTAGGAGCTCAAGTGATGGACTGTAGGGGTGTGGGTGGGGATGTCCTGGGGGGCATCAGTCTCGGAACTGACTCAGTCAGACCTTTAGGAGACTACATACAGAAGGACCGAGTTGCCCATCATGGCTGACTTTTCACCATGTGGAACTTTACCTCCCCCCACTCCAATTCCCTTCCCCTACCCCTGCCTCCCTCTTCCCCGCCAGCCCCCTCATCCACTCTCGCTCCCTCTCTTGCGCCCCCCTCCCACCAACTCCCCCCCCCCCCCCATTCCCTCCCTCCGCCCCCACACCCCCACTTCCTCTCCCCGCTTCCCCTCCCACCATTCCTCCTCCCCTTACAAACATCCATGTGTCACTTAGATGCCTGTGTCACACACACTCAGTATTTGCCACACAGCGTGTGCCAGAGCCCAGCTCAGCACAGCTCGGGGAGAGGGGGACGTAAAGTTCCACATGGTCAAACACAGGGTTTGAGTGAGAATGTGTGTGGCCGAGTTGGGCTGGGCTGGGCAGCACTGAGCTGGCCTGGGCTTGGCTGAGCTGGACTGGGCTGAGCTTGGCTGGGCCGGGCTGAGCGGGGCCAGGCTGGGCTGGGCTGAGCTGGGCTCGGCTGGCTAGCACTGAGTTGGCCTGGGCTTGGCTGAGCTGAGCTGGGCCGGGCTGAGCTGGGCTGAGCTGGGCCGGGCTGAGCTGGGCTGGGCTGAGTTGGGCTGAGCTGAGCTGAGTTGGGCTGAGCTGGGCTGAGTTGGGCTGAGCTGAACCAGGCTGAGCTGGGCTGAGCTGGGCCGGGCTGAGCTGGGCCGGGCTGAGCTGAGTTGAGCTGAGCTGAGTTGGGCTGAGCTGAGCTGAGCTGGGCCGGGCTGAGCTGGGCCGAGTTGAGCTGGGCTGGGTTGAGCTGAGCTGAGTTGGGCTGAGCTGAGCTGGGCTGGGCTGAGCTGAATTGGGCTGAGCTGAGTTGGGCTGAGCTGAGCCGGGCTGGACAGAGAACAATGTGCTGTTCTCTTTGCTCCTGTGCAGGGTATCACACTGAAGCTGAACGAGAAGGGGCGCTGTGTCATCGGCCGCATCCTGCACGGGGGAATGATTCACAAACAAGGTAGGCATTACTCCCTAATTAATCAGTCAATGAATTAATAAGTTAATTAATAACTAATTAATAAGATAATTGGAGTTCAGCTATAGATCAACCAAAGTCTATTGGAATGGTGGAGCAGACTCGAGGGGCTGAATGACCTACTCCAGGTCCCATGTTTCTGTGCCCAGCTTGTGCTGTGGTTAATTAGCACAGAAACGTTACCACACCACCTCTCCACCACCCTCTTCTTACGTGTTGTACATGTGTGACTCCGGCCCCTGAGTGTGTGTTTGTGTGTGCGTGTGACCCCCAACCTCTGTGTGTGTGTGTGTATGAGCCCCAGGGTGTGTGTTTGTGTGTATGTGTGTGTGTATGTGAACCCTGGGCCCTGTGTGTGTATGAGCCCCAGGGTGTGTGTTTGTGTGCGTGTGTGTGTGTAAGTGTGTATATGACCCCTGGGCCCTGTGTGTGTGTGTGTGTGTGTGAGTGACCCCAGCCCTGTGTGTGACCTCCGGCCACTGTGTGCGGCGTATCACAAGTCTCAGTGAGGTTTATTGCGCTGATCTCTTGAATCGCCAGGCAGTCTGCACGTGGGTGATGAGATCCTGGAAATCAATGGGAACAGTGTGGTCAACCAGACAGTGGAGGAGCTGCAGCTTCTGCTGGTGAGTCACAGCCGTGCAGTGCGTCGTGGACCACAACCGGGGTTTAACGTGCTGTATTTCTTAACGAGATTCTCTAATGGGATTAATAATAATAATAATTGCATTTAATATAACGCTTTTCACGTCTTCTCGACGTCTCAAAGCGCTTCACAGAATAGACTGTTTTTTTATTTTGGAGGGATTATTGTGGGAATATTGAGGGATTAATGGGTTTCGTGCAAGGCCCAGACATAGGGATAGTCTGGCATGGGGTCATTTGCTTTCTGTTCCATGTTTATAACAGGGATTCCACCCTCTGCCCAAGGTGAGATCCTTTCAAGAGGACAGTCTAGTCTAGGTTGGGAGCTGGTGGTCACAAACTCCAGGCACATGGGTGTATGTGAGACACATGAGTGTACTGGCCAAAACAGCTCATTACACAAAAGGGAAACCAGCCTCTCTCCATTTTCTGTTGCAGAAAGACATGAAGGGAACGGTTAGTTTGCAGGTCCAGTCCAGCTCTCGCTGCAATGTCCCTTCCTTTGAGGTGAGTGAACTGTCTCTTTAAGCCTCGTGTCCCAGTTGATTCGCCCTCCTTGTCATATTTCCATTAGTTGGATCTCATTTCTTAATGGGACGCATTGATGAGGAATCCGAGTTTCACGAATGGTAATCGAATGTAGGTCACAGGAACTCTGCTCCGCCACAGTCTCATTTCCAGTGTAGGTTTTGTCGAGCATCGATGGGAATTCTTAAAGAATCCCATTGAGAAATGATGCATGTTAGACCACCGGTTGGGGTCCAATGTGGGTTGAGAAAAGTTGAGATCAACTATCCAATCCAGCACATGAGATCCAATCCTTATAGGATCATTAAATACCATAAAACTCAGTCCAGTTCAAGACCCGAACCACAGCAGTGATCCACAAACAGTGGTGGATTGAGTGACCAAAGTATTATTATTTTTGGAGGAATTATTACCCCCTGAATCAACTAACAACCTGGTTCTTACTTACTACTATGTAAATTATGTGGAGCAAGGAAACTTGCCTACGGTTTTGCCCTGCCTGGGAATCGAACCCGGGACATCTTGCTTGCGAGGCGAGTGTGCTAACCTCTACCTTACAGGACTCCATTCTTAGCGCCCTTGCTGTTGCTCCTAGACGAGACCAGCTAACTCAGCCCAGACAATGGGAACCAAATCCAGGACTTTATGTCTGTTTCTGAGCTGTTATGTGGGTGCTGATGTCTATATCCAAAGAGCGAGGCCAGGCCTTTGTGATTGAACTTGATGTGAGTATCTCTCTTGATGGTTGTGTTCACAGGCATTATGTTCCATGAATTGGATGAAAGGTGAATATTGTACCTGGCTCGCTAGTCGCTGTTGCTCTTTCCATTTATCCCGTTAGTTGCCTTGTGATGACCATTGCTCTCCCTCTTAACCCTTCTCTACAGACCAAGTTTCCCCATTGCCTTTGAGCTGTAGGAAGTCTTTAGCTGTTAGTTATTAACACATCCCCCTTAGATGTCTGCTGCTAGTCACTCCACTTGGAGAGTAAGCTTCTCGTGTGCGGATGGCTGACTGTGTCCCTGAATAAGGATTCACAAACCGGGACTGAAATTTCTCATAGTCTCAGCCTTGAGAACATTGCCTTAATAAACATAATAAACATAATTCCTGCAAATGATATAATGTCACGTTGTTGAAATGTCTCCAACTGCTGCACAGAATTATTACTCCAAAGTGTAGTTACTGTGTATTACTGTGGCTTTAAAGATTTAAACCCTGCAAAATTTTGGAAAATGCTAAAATTGCTTCCTCATTCAGAAGCTGGTTTCTTCAAAGAACTGCAGAGAACCAACTTCCAAATTTAGAATCATAGAACTTTACAGAGCAGGAAGTGTCCTTTCAGCCCATTGAGTTTGCATTGGCTCTCAGACTAAGCTGTTCATTCAATCCGACTGCCTGCCCTATCCTAGACCAATTCAAATCTAGAAGCACTTCACAGAATAAACTGTAAAGTGAATTGACCATATATTTTGTGGGTGAAACATGGCAGCCAATTGTGCACAGCAGTGTCCCACAAACAGTCATGGAAGGAGTGACCAAATTATTATTATTTTAAAATTTAATCAAAACAGACCATAAGACGTAGGAACTGGAGTAGGCCATTCAGCCCCTCGAGCCTGCCCCGCCATTTAATAAGATCATGGCTGATCTTCTAACCTAATTCCATTTACCCGCCTTATCCCCATATCCCTTAAGTCTCTATGCTTTAGAAATCTATGAACCTCAGGCTTGAATATGTTCAAGGACTGAGCATCCACAGCCTTCTGGGGTAGAGAATTCCACAAATTCACTACCCTCTGTACCAGATGCCAATCCTTGCATCTGATACAGCATCATATTACATCAGGGGAACGTCTCAAAGTACTTCACTTTACAGCGTATCCAGTGAAGCGCTTTGAATCATCCTTCTGATGTGAAAGGTGTTATAACAAATGTAAGAATTATTATTTCTTAATTACTGTAAATACAACACAATACAAATTTGCATCTATTATAGCGCCTTTCACGTCTGGAGGACATCTGAGGTGCTTCGGAATCCTTAAAGTTAAGATTGTGCAAAAAGTTTTGAAAGCTCTTTAATTCAGTCTTTTAAATAGAGCTTCGGAAAACAGACTTCAAAACCCAATTGAAGAATTTTCATAAGTTTCTGCTTTATCTTAAATTGGAAGTCTGAGACCGACAGAAATTTCCAGCCTCCAACTCAGCCAGCGAGAGGGTTAGTCTGCCATTGCACTTCACCAAGTTCTTCATTCTTTCATCTTATTAGGATAGATGTGTGCTTGAGAATACTAAAACTAACAATTATTAATAATAATCTTCGAGTTCGATCTAACACTCTCGTGTCAGGAGAACGTCCCAAAGCGCTCCACAGGCTCCATCATACAGTGTAGTGACTGTGCGTTTTGCAGGAGAGGAACAACAACAAATTGCTTCCACGTCAGGAGGACGTCCCAAGGTGCTGGAAGGTGAAAAGTTTGCACCTGAGCTGTGGGCTGGAGTCAAAAGGGATGGAGGGTAGGGGGGCATTGGGTTGGGAGAATGACTGAAGACACAGTCAAAAAGGAACGCCTTGAGACGTGCCTTGAAGAAGGCAAGGGAGGGGGCGAGTGGAGGAGCTCCAGAGGACGGAGGCAGGAAGGGGAAGGTCCAACCACCGATGGTGGAGGGGGCCGGGCGAGGGACGTAGAGCAGGCTAGTGCCTGAAGGGCAGAGGGAGCAGACAGGTAGGTAATATTTTAGTAGGTCACAGATGTAGGGAGGAGCAAGGGAGTGGAGGCCTTTATTAACTGTAGTCTGAAAGGACTTAACTAACGGAGAGTGTGACTGATTCTCACTGTATGTTGCTCAGTGGCTGAAATCCTGCTGGCTTCCTGATGGTTTCTCTCTCTTGCAGATGTACATGCGAGCTCAGTTTGATTACGACCCAAGGAAAGACGACCTGATCCCGTGTAAGGAGGCCGGCTTGAAGTTTAAGACGGGCGACATCCTCAGGATAATCAGCAAGGACGATCCCAACTGGTGGCAGGGCAGCGTTGAGAACTCCTCCCTCCCACCCGGACTCCTCCCTTCCCCAGAGCTCCAGGAATGGTACGATCCCTTCATACATTCAGGAAGAGATTCCTGTGCCAGAGGGGTGCGTGTGTGTGTGTATGTGTGTGTGTGCATACCTGTGTCTGTGCGAGTCTGTATTGTAACAGATGTAGCTACACTTATAATAATAATAATCCTTGCGTTTGATATAGTCCTTATCACGTCTTCTAGACATCTCAATGCGCTTCACACAATATACTTCACTGCGCGTGTGTGTGTATTGTGACAGTTTGTTAGTTGTGTGTGAGAGCTGCTCACTGAGGAGCATTTAGGATTTTGGTTTAAAATGACAGCGCAGCACACCTCTGTCACCTCTGACAGTGCAGCACCTCCCCAGCATTGCTCTGGAGTCTCAGCTTAGACTGTGTGAATTCCAGGTCCCAACGTAGAGATTGAACCCCAATCTTGTGACTCGGTGGTGACAGTGTTACCAGCTGAGCCACGCTGGCACACCATCGCGCTCTCCTCCTATACCATGTCATTGTGCTTTGCAGGCGGGTGGCCAATAGGAACGGTGCCAATCAGGACGGCACGTCGGGCTGTGGGATGTTTGGGAAGAAGAAGAAGCAATGTAAAGACAAGTACCTGGCCAAGCACAGCGCAAGTACGTGCAGACCCGGGGCTGGGACTGGAGGCAGGGACTGGGGGCTGGGACTGGGGACAAGGACTGGGGGCTGGGACTGGGGGAAGGGACTGGGGGCAGGGACTTGGGGCAGGGACTGGGGCGGGGGTCTGGGACAGGAAGCAGGGACTGATCTCCAGGAACGAGACTCATTCGATGGCTTATCACACGCTGACAGAGCAAACTCCAAGGGAACAAGCCAGTGAAAAAAAGTATTTTGGTCATCCGGGGGTCTGACACTTGCGGAAACCCATCACCGTGTTAGAGAGAATCCAAACCAAACTCAGAATTTCATGCATCCCATCTACACATAGAAATCCCAGAGACAGATTGTTGTAATGGAATGCGCTCTCTCTCCCTGGAGAGACCCATCCTGCTTACCTAACTCCGGAAAGTATTAGGCGCAGGTTGACAAGAGCCAAGGCTTGGGGACCCCAGAGTATGCGTTGGGGTAACTGCTGGAGTCTAACCAGATAAAACCACACAGCTTGCCATTGATATTGCTGTCTGGCAAGCTTTCCTGCTGCTTGTTCAGCTAGGACCACCCTACCCATTAGGGCTTTGGCTTGCAGGGTGAACAGGAGTTGAGTGCGAGAATTCCCTGCCCCCAATGACCAGGATATTTGCTGTAACTGTAAGCGGAGAGGACTAACATTGGTGCATTGCATGGCTGGTGCAGTCACAGTGGAGTACGGGCAAAGATCAATTCTGATAATCCTTCTGATACAGTATTTGGGACAGAAGGAGAGCACGCAGGTGTTTATGCAACACAATGTTCCCTCATGGGTGGTTTGCTTTCCAACATACAATCCTTGTCAAGCAGTGTTAGCTTCTGTGGCTAGATCACACACAGCCCTCTGACAGCTTTGCTGTACTGTGCACCAGCCACTTCAAGGGCACCTTACTTTTAGAAACAACACCTTTAATAATAATAATAATAATAATAATTATTGCATTTGATATAGCACATTATAATATCAGACGTGTGTCTCAAAGTCTCAATCCCAAAGCAGGATTTACTGTGCAGTGAAGTGACTGTGTATTTGTAGGCAAACGTGGCAGCACAATTAATAATAACACTAATAATAATCCTTGAATTTGATATGGCACGTCGTTGAGACGTCTCAAAGCACCTCGCAGAATTCACAGTAAAGTGAATTGACTGCATATTTTGTGGCTGAAACTCGGCACCAGGATTGCGCACAGCAGTGTCCCACAAATAGCCATGCAGCAAGGAGGGAGGTGACGATAGGCATGGGTCAAAGAGGAAGGAAAATCTTCAGGTGTGATCTGAAGACGGGCAAGGAGGGAGCGAGATTGAGGCTGAGAGGTACACAGTCTCGGGGCACAATGGCTCAAAGCACTATTTGCAGAGAGCAGATGGCTCCTATGTTTACAGCACTCAAAGCTAAGAGTATTGCCGTCTACAGACATCCAGTGCAGTGAGAGGCAGGGCTCTGAAAATAGTTCACGTTTTTAATTCTTCGCTCCCCGCAGTCTTCGACCGGCTTGACCTGGTGTCGTACGAAGAGGTGGTGCAGCTCCCTGCGTTCAACAGGAAGACACTGGTGCTTCTAGGTGAGGAATGATAGGTGGTGACCAACAACAACAACAAATTCATTTATATAGCTCCCTTCATGTCGGGAGGATGTACCAAGGCCTTGGACAATGAGGGGTTTGTACCCGAGCTGTGGGTTGGGATCAGAGAGGGATGGAGGGCAACGAGTGGAGGAGGGAAGGTGATCGAAGGCACGGTTGAAGAATAAGGTCTTGAGACAGGTCTTGAAGGAGGCAAGGGAGGGGACGAGGCGGAGATGCTCCGGGATGGAGTTCTAGAGGGTGGGGGCAGAAAGCCTGAAGGAGCAGGCAGGGAGGAGGGGTCGAGGAGGTCAGTGGGCAGGTTGGTGAAGTTGCAACGGGTTGCAGAGATAGGGAGGAGCAAGCCTACCAGGCTTCGAGGGTGAGGATCTTAAACTCATAATTGAAGCCAACTGATTAAATATTAATTCTGTCTGAGTGGAATGTTACTGCGTCCAACCCAGACTGCACTCTGCCTAGATTTCCCGCAGGGATGGTAAATGAAGGGCAGCAGAGATGTGGGTTCATTCGTCGCGTGGCTTTATTACTGTGTGTGTGTGTGAGATCGCTGTGCTTTGAGCTTCATTGTGCAGTCAGGCTTGTGGCACTCTGCTGCTCTACCCAGCACCCAGCAACACATGTCACAAGGCATCACAAGGCATTTCCACTCACAACCTGTTTCAACAGCAGTTGAAAGGAAGGGTTTCTCGGGTCTCAGAGGCAAAAGTGACAGGGGAGTTTGTGGGGGGAGGGGGGGAGGAGGGGGCAAAGAGGTTTCTGTGGTTCTGTTGCACTAGCAGAGGATTACTGCGCCACCCCAAAACTCAAATTCTTTTTGTGCTGTTTGTTTCAGGGGCTAACGGAGTTGGTCGAAGGCACATCAAAAGCTCTTTGGTGACAAAGCATGAAGACAAGTTTGCTTATCCAATTCCACGTAAGTACCAGGGTCGCCCTGAACCTGATGCTGGCGTCTGTCTGAGCGCTTCAGATGGTTAGAGGAATCATGACCATAGTGCTTTTTTAAATCAACACAGCCATTTCTCCGTTCCCCTAATTGTATAATAAACCTAGCATTTGGCCAACGCTTTATCACACTTGTTGTGCGTCAGGCTGGTTCAATAATAGCACTCTCGCCTGAGTCAGAAGGTTGTGGGTTCAAGCCCCAAATCCAGACTTGGAAGCACACAGTTTAAGGTGAAGGTCTCAATGTATTACTGGGGGTGTTGCATTGTTGGAGGTGCCGTCCTTCAGATGAGACATTAAACCAACGGCCCATCTGCCTGTCCAGGTGAATGTTAAAGATCCCATGGCACTATTCGAAAAGAGAAGGAAGTTTCTCTCTCCTGGTGTCCTGGCCAACAATCCCCAAATTAAATTGGTCACTGACTCCATAGCTGTTTGTGGGACATTGCTGTGTACAAACTGGCTGTATGATGGAGCCATCTGCTTCAATTTTGTTTGTCATACAATACAACAGCAACAAATTCCATTTATACAGCGCCTTTCACATCGGGAGGACGTCCTGAGGCATTGGATAGTCAAGGATTTAAATCCAAGCTGGAGGTTGGGATCAGGAGGGGTGGAGGGCAGGGAGGGTGGGGGTATGAAAGTGACCAAAGGCACCGTCGAAGAGGAGGGTCTTGAAACAGGCCTTGAAGGAGACAAAAAGGGGGCGAGGTGAAGGGTAAGATAGAGTTCCAAAGGGTGGGGGCAGAAAGGCTGAAGGTCCAACTGCCGATGGTGGGGCAGGCAGGGTGGGAGACATGGAGCTCGCTGAGTGAGGCCACTGAGTGGAGGGAGCTGACAGGTCTGTATGGAATTAATCATACATAGAAAAGTGGAGCTGGAATCCAAATATAAAAACTCCCATATAGAATCATAGAATATAACAACAACAAAATTCCATTTGTATGGAGCCTTTCACGTCAGGAGGGCGTCCCAAGGAGGATATCCCATTACAGCACAGAAGGAGGCCATTCGGCCCATCATGCCTGTGCCAACTCTTTGAAAGAGTTACCAACTAGTCCCAATTGCCCGCTCTTTCCCCATGTCCTTGCAAATGTTTCTTTTACAAATACCTATCCAATTCCCTTTTAAAAGTTATTATTGAATCTGTTCGCACCACCCTTTCAGGCAGTGCATTCCAGACCGTAACAACTCGGTGTAAAAATTTTGACCAATAACTGTACTTGTTGGTTAATCCTAGTAACAGCAGAACGATCTGGCTCTGTCCTCATTAGCAGTAATGAACCCTCCGTAGAATGTCCTTTCCTCCTCCACTAGACACCTCCAGACCAGCAAAGAAGGGCGAGGAAGATGGAGAGAGCTACTACTTCATTTCCCATGAGGACATGGCAAAGAACATCTCCAGCAATGAGTTCCTGGAGTACGGCAGCTTCCAGGGGGCCATGTTCGGAACAAAGCTGGAGACCATCCGTGAGATCAACCAAGAGCGAGGGAAAATCGCAGTGGTAGACATCGAGCCCCAGGTATGTCTGTCCATTGACCACTAACTTTTTAATGAGTAGTGATAGCAGGTGGAGTCTTGTAGCTCAGTGTTTATAGCACTCGCTTCGCAAGTGAGAGACCTGAGTTCAATTCCCGGCAGGACGAAATGTTGGGCAAGTTTCCTTACTTCCACACACCTGATTATAATCCCTCAAGAGAAAAAAATAACAATAAAATTAGTCACTTCAATCCACAACTGTTTGTGGGACACTGCTGTATGCAATTGGCTGCCGCGTTTCGCCCACAAATAGACAGTCAATTCACTTTACAGCATATTCTATGAAGCGCTTTGAGACGTCTAGAAGACGTGAAAAGCCCTATGTCAAGTGCAAGGATTATTATTATAAGTAGGAACCCAGTTGTTAGTCGATTGGTGGATTGCTTTTCCTGGGGTAATAATCCCTTCAAAAAATAAATAAATAAAAAATAATAATTTGGTTACTCAATCCACGACTGTTTGTGGGACACTGGTGTGCTCAATTGGCTGCCGCGTTTTGCCTACAAAATATACAGTCAATTCACTTTACAGTGCATTCTGTGAAGCCCTTTGAGACATCTCGAAAACAAGATAAGGTGCAAAATCAAATGCATGGATTATTATCACTGTTAATGAGGTAGTCATAGCACTATCCTGATCGTGAGACATTCAGCAGTAACATTGCAGTGTGTAGTGCCTCCACTACAGTGTCTCCCTAAAAATAGCTAAGAAAATGCAAGTGGTTGGAAGCTTGGTCACGGTTTTTACTACTGCACATCAAAGGATTTGGTTCTTGCAAGTCTGCAACTAAAAGATCAAGGTTGCAAATCTATTACTTTTATGGGTAGGGACTACATTTCTGAACAGTGACACAAACTGAACAGCCATAAAACCATGAAGTAAGCCTTTCCTGCACAATCTGAACTTACACCAACACTCCAGCCTAAAATAAAAGTCAACCTTGAGCGCAAGACGCAGACGTCCATTGGAATAGAGTAAATAAGGAGAAATTGTTTCCACTGGTGGGTGGGTCGGTAATCAGAAGCCACAGATTTAAGATAATTGGCAAAAGAACCGGAGGGAAGACGAGGATCATTTTTTTTTACACAGAGAGTCGTTATGATCTGGAGAGTTGTTATTTCACTGCCTGAAAGGGTTGTGAAAGCAGATTCAATAATAACTTTCAAAAGGGAATTGGATATAATAATAGTAATAATAATGATCCTTGCATTTACTACAATGTCTCAAAGTGTTTCACAGAATATGTATTGGAATGTGGATTGACTGTATTTTGTGTGCATAAACGCCTGAGCCAATTGCGCACAGCAGTGTCCCACAAACCGTTATGGATTGAGTGACCAAATTATTATTTATTTATTTATTTGGAGGCATTATTACCCCTGGAAAACCATCCGCTAATTGACTAACAACCAGGTTCCTACTTACTGCTCGATAAACAGGGTTGTGTGGAGTAAGGAAACTTGCCTAAGGTTTCACACCGCCCGGGAATCGAACCTGGGTCCACTTGATTGCGAACCGAGCGTGCTAACTACTGTGCTGTGGGACTCCGTGATGGGAACATCATCCAATGCAATGGTGCTCGATTTAACGGTGCTCCACAGGGTTTAAAAGCCATGTAAATCAAGATCAAACATGTAACAAGAAGCAACAGACTGAACAACCCTAAACACTATATTATTTATAACCTTTGCAACATTACCTTTAGAGTTTCTGAAAGCGAAAACCGAAGAACCACACAGCAGTTGCAGGTCAAAACCTTAGAATTAACTTAGAATGAACTGGGCCACTAAATAGAGCAATTTGTTGGGGGAAACCTTAAATAAAATCAATTAGTCGACTTTCATTCCACTTTGAGGCTGTGTACTGTAACTGCCTTTTCAAAAAAAAAGCCTTTCACTCAATCCACGACCCGTTTGTTGGACGCTGCTGTGCGCAATTGGCTGCCGCATTTCGCCCACGAAGTATTCATCAATTCACTTTACAGTGTATTCTGTGAAGTGCTTTGAGACGTCCCGAAGATGTGAGAAGGTGCTGTATCAAATGCAAGTATTATGATTATTTAGTTAGACACGGCAGATGTGATAAAGCCCGAATAATCAGGAAACCCACAAAGCACCTGATATACAGTGAGAGGGTAAAGTTGCCAAAGGATGTACTTCACCAGCCCGAAGCACTTCACGTGAAATTAACCCTCACAATGAGCTCCTGATCTCGTGTGGGCAGAACATTGCTGGCCCTCTAGCGGTCAGTTGCAGTAGGGAGTGGTCAGAACCAAACCAGGGGACTGGGAAGGGGCGAAAAGTTCTGGACAGATTATAATAATGTTGCTTTTCTTTTTGACTGTTTTATTGAACGTGCTTTAGCCTGAATTGCTTCTCTTTCGCTCCCCATGTACTATTTATATGTTGTCAGAAAGGACATGTCTAAACATGGTCTTCACATGTGAACAGCATTCACATTGTGTTTGATCTATTATGGAAACTGAACTACTAACTTCACCTATTTGACTGGTGTGTCAGCCTGACTCAGTGAGTAGCACTCTCGCCTCGCCAAGTCAGAAGGTTGTGGGCTCAAGCACCACTTAGGGACATTGAACTCAAATAGTGGAATACAGTGCTTGGTGAGTGCTGCATTGATGTAGTTGCTGCCCTTTAGATGAGGCTTTAAACCAAGGTACTGTCAGCGTGTTGTTAAAGATCCCATGGCTATTTCAAAAGAGAAGGAGTTTCTCCCAGTACTCTGACCAACCGTAGCCCAGATAAAATTGGTCATTCACTTTGTGGCTGTTTGTGGGTTATTGCTGTGTTCAAATTGGCAGCTGGGTTTGTCTGCAAAATACCAAGTGACTACACTTTACAGTGAAACCTTTCGAGATGCCCTCCAGACTTCAAAGAGGCTATATCAAATGCAAAGCTTATTATATTATAAAATGTCATCAGTAACAGATCAGGGTGTAGTGCAATGAAACGTATCCAAACAGCGTCACAAATGTGGTCCTAAAGTTATCCATTGAAATACCTGGCTTGTGCATCAAACTCCCAAAGAGATGACAGCTTTATTTTTTTAAAGGTCCTATTTTTAAACAGACATCATTTTTTAAACAGACATCACAGATAACTGCTGTACCCCTTTGCAATGCAAGAAACAAACACAATGTGAATGTGCTAACCACACAGCTACTCATTGTTGCCCCACTTCACCATTAGGCTGGTTCATTTGCAACGCCACATAAATAGATGACACAGATTGAGATATTTGAGATGACACACCTCGTTCAAATGTGTTTTTTGATAGAATCACTGCTATGTCATAACATGCCCGTGGACAGTGTAAGTTACATAAGCAAAAGGTGTTACTGATGTGTTAGGTTCCTGAGTGTGAGTTGTGTCTGGTTCCCATGTGTGATGTTCACCTGAAAAGGTTTTGCAGTAGCAACAGTTTATCATTGCATCTCAAGACATCCTGCCCTAAAGTAGCACACTGATGATTATTTGAGTTGGTGGTTTAGCATTTTATGTTCACATCGTCGCCACATCCTCTGCATCCGTCCCTACCTCACTGCAAAGCTGCCGGACTCGCCTTCGTCACCTTCAAACACGGCTTCTCAAATACCTCGTCACCATTTCTCCAGCTCCACCATTCACAAGCTCCAGCTCATCCAAAACTCTCACCCACGTCTTTACCCGCACCATCAACCCCGACCTCGCCAGGCTCCACCATCTCTCAAATTCCTCATCTTTACTACAAATATATTTTCTTCTGCCCACGAAATAGTCAATTCACTTCACAGTAATGATAATATTCTTTGCATTTGATATGGCTCCAGGATATACTGTAAAGTGAATTGTTTATTCAGTGAAGCGTTTTGAAACGTCTTGACGACATGATGAGGCGCTATATCAAATGCAAGGAATATTATTATTAATTCAGTTCGCTCCCACTCACTTCCCTATCTCTGTGATCTTCATCAGCCTCACTGCTCGACAAACTCATGCCTGCTGTACATTCCCCATCTCCCCCACCCCAACATCAGTGGCTGAGCCTTCAACCAGTATGTTTCCCCCCACGCTCTGGCATTGCCTCCCTCAACCCCACCATCTCACCCCCTCGCTATCTTCATAAGCTACATAAAAAAAGCAGCTTTGTGATAGTGCCTACAGACACCTCTCTCCTTTTAGCTCATTGTCAGGTACCAGCTCTGTAAAGCACTCTGAGGTGTTAATACAACAACAAATTGCACTTGCATAGCGCCCTTCACATCAGAAAGATGCCCCAGGCCGCTGGACAGGCAGGGTTTTTTTTGACGCGAGGTGGGAGTTGGCGTCAGGAGGGGTGAAGGGTTGGGGATGGGAGGATAGCCGGAGGCATGTTTGAAGAGGAAGGTCTTTAGACGGGACTTGAAAGAGGCAAGTGAGGGGGTGAGGCAGAGGGATTGCGGGATAGAGCTCCAGAGTGTGGGGGCAGAGATGCTGAATGCAATGGTGAGGCGGGAAGTGCGGGTGACCGGAAACAGGCTGGTGTTCCGCCGAGCGGAGGGAGCGGACAGGCTGATATGGGGTTAGGAGGTCGGAGAGTTTTGCACTGGATTCACTGAGGGATGGGGAGCCAGTGAAGCCGGGCAAGAACGGGGGTGATTGTAATTGGACATAAAGTGCTACAAAGCAACCACTTGCATTTTGATAGCGCCCTTCATGCAGGGTAGCATCCCACATAGCTTGAAGAGGCTACTTTTCTACCTATGTGGCATTGCAAACAAACCAGCTGCTGTTCAGAAAGTCAGTCAGTTTATCTGATTTCGAAATAGGGATTTTAAATGTTTTGTATCTTACAGCTAAAAACTCTTGATGCCTCTTCAGTGCTGTGTGTTGCCTCCTTTCCCAGGACCTGAGTCTATGTTATGTCATCCATTCCTGTGCACTAGCCGTGTATATATGTTATTATATAACACAAAGCTGTGTCCTCCATTCACAGGCCCTGAAGATTCTCAGGACAGCAGAGTTTGCTTCGTTGGTTGTATTCATTGCCGCTCCATCTACAACGCCTACCAATCAGGTAAGGGAATCTGGTCTGCCCCAAGTCCTCATCACTGGAGCATTCCATCCTGTAGTCTAACGCGCTCGCCTCGCAAGCGATTGGACCTGGGTTCGATTCTGGGGCAGGACGAAAACTTAGGCAAGTTTCCTTACTTCACATACGCCTGTTTACCCAGCAGTAATTAGGAACCCGGTTGTTAGTCGATTGGTGGATCACTTTCTGGGGGTTATAAACCCTCCAAAAAAATAAAATTAAATGTTTCATCACTCAATCCATGACTTTTTTGAGACAATTCCATGCAAAATGTCTGCCACGTATCACCCACAAAATGCAATATATTCTGTAGTGTTTTAAAATGTCGACAACCTGATGAGCGTTATATATCAAATGCAAGGATCATTATTACCTTTGGGGATTAAGTGAGTGGGTAATAACTTTCCCAGTTAATCTCTGCTCATGAATAGTGGGATAATAGTCCTCCTCCATCCAGCACTAAAATCATCCCAATTTCTATCGCTAAACTGTTTGTGAATATCACAGAACAAGATGGTTTTACTGTTGTTAATAGTAAGGCAAGCAAACTCCGGCAAATTAAGATTTTTTTGCTCATTTTTCTTAACACTGGTGATTTTCATGGTGGAAGTAGGGTTTCCCAGAAAGTAGCAGCTTCCCCCCTCCTCGCCCATCGTCACATGGATATTCTAAACCTAGTGAGCATCAGGCGAAAAGTTGGCTGTTTAATTACTCGATTAATTCCTATTTAATTAGTAGATCACAGAGAGAAAACCTTGGAACAAATTAAATGGAAGCGAGCAAGAAAACATTAATCCAGATGGTTTCCTTTTTAGTCTGAATCCCTCAAGAGAATCCAGAAGGAATCGGATCTCCTGCAGACCGCCTACGGACACTGGTTCGATCTGACGCTGGTTAACAATGAGGTTGAAGAAACAGTGCAGAAACTGGTGGAAGCGATTGAGAGTGCATGTACCACGCCTCAGTGGGTGCCTGTGTCGTGGGTCTACTAATAGATCATCAGTATTGGAATGGATACAATATACTTTTTAAGAAACCACATAATCCCCCCACGTTCAGAGAATGTGTGTGTGGCAACAGACTGGGTTGGTGTCTGTCCGTCACCCAGTTTTTAATCTATATTCACATTTTGCCTGTTTATGGGAGTTCATCCCGTTGGTACACTCCATTCTGTATAAAGGATGAGGCCGTATTTACACGGTCAACATTTTTGACAACATATAAATAAATATTACGTGGGAGACATCAAGTGTTCGATTAATGTCAGAAATGCCATATTTTCACCGTCTGTGCTGCTGTCACCATCCCGTTTGTCTGAGTTTTGTTTGAATTGTCCACTTTTTTATATGCGTTTTTTGGGAAAAAATGTTTGTACCATTTTAAGCATTTTCTTACAGCTGGGCAGCTCCGAGCCATCCCTAGACACACACACAACACGCCTTTTTGAACAGGCAGCTCTTGGAAAGGAATGCTTCGCGATGTGCTCAGCCCCACAGGCAGTCGCATTGTACAGCCATTCCTGGGTGCAAACGTATCTCTCGATCTCACGCCAATAAGACTAGTGAACCTGTACAACCCTCCCCTCTGCAATGTTAATCAGGTATGAATCCCTCCCCCTCAAAAAAGTTTCTAAGTTTTCCTTGCTTTGCAGTACATCCTGGCATACGAGTGCGTCCATATTGCACATGTTCTTGCCTGTATTTATCCCTGTAATTTGCACAGCTTGCTATTTAGTACAATTGCACCACTTGAGGCCAATGGCCATGGTTGTATTAAACACGTCACTGCTTGTCCGGTCACAGCAGCTTACATACTAAATGAACAAAGGCAGGCAAGCAGCATGTCTTATTACACAGGTAAGCACAACTGGTGGCTGAAACCCACAGTGCAACCTGTACCTTCCATCCGCTATTGTGCAGAGTAGTGCACCGGGTATGTAGGTTCTGTGTACAGTACTGACATGTACTTATTTAAATGCCCGATCTGCTAAAATAGGTGATTTTACAGTTATGGTCTTCACCTCAAAGACAAGATGCGAGTACATTTGGTCCTTGAGGTCTTCAATTACTACACAGGGAGAGTAATTTGAACAGGTTGCACTCAAGTGTGAAAGATGTGTAATGCTATTAAATAAAATAAACGCACATGTTCTGTACTCATTCCCCTCCTCCCTTTACCGCATCTGCATTTTAAATGTTTTACTGATTAGCTGAATAAAGGCATTTACGTTTACTCAACCAAGAGAACTTTGCTACTGTTGTGAGCTCTTTACTGAATGATTCAAGTTCTTTCTTGTGGGAGATGTGGCAGCTCGTGTTAAGCAAAAAGCATCAACATATTTAGAGAAAACGTGATGCATACATGAAGGGGGGGGGGGTATAAGAGGTTAGGAAGGGTGGAGGCTCATGTGGGTTAGGGTTAGGTTAGGCTAAACACTAGCACAGGCTGGTTGATCTCAACGACCAGTTTCTGTGCTGCAACATTTTAGTTCTAAGTGCCTGCCTTGTCATTCCAAGCAGAACAATCACAACCAGATCTCTGCCACTGTAAAGGATCCTGTTTGGCATTTACCTTATCCACCAGTCATAAATCATAAATCGATTTGGTGCATTCATTCACTCAGTAGAAATTGGTTTTAGGGAATTGACTTCCCAGAACAGCCAAAACGTTTTACTTACAAGAACGTAATCCTCTTGGTATTTAGTTCAAGTCTATTAATGTAATTTGTGGAGTTACATTATGAGGTAGAGACTTAATTGTATATAACTGTAAAGAATATAAAACACTGATTCATCCATCGAGGATGCTTGTAGCCCTATGATTGACTCACCCAAACAGTTATGATTTGCAACTAACACAGGCATTCACTTGTGGCTGAAGCCACTCAGATGCATCATCAGTGGATGTTTCTAACCATCAGCAGCTGACATGCAAAACTCACATAACAATCAAAGATGGTCATACCGATATCTGCCACCCCCTCCTCACTATAAGCAATTGTAATAGATATTAGCTAATTCAGTACACACCAGGGGGGATTATCCAGAGGACCTGATATGAAAAGGATTTTACAGCAGTAGGAGAGCTGCAAAATTATTTTTAAAAAATTACTAGTTTTGTTTTAGCAAATTCTCTTTCCGCCAGTCTCTGCTTGTACTATTACAGTAGTGACACGTACATCACTTGGCGCTGAACACATTTCAATGGATCCCACCCTCACCAAAAAAACACCATTTTATCACAATTAGTTGTCACTGAAATGAAAGGTACACTCTTGGAGAACGCAAGAAAAGTACAACTAATTCTAAAAAAAATTAATAGAAAATTGATTTATTCATAAAAAAGTGTCCATTACAAGAACCACACACAAGCCTCTACAATGAACCTGAATGTACATCTTGGCTCAAAAACTGTTTTATCCAAATCCACTGCACACCCAGAACAGTGTGTACTGAAGTCAGTATTCAAGGTTTATTACAATGTACACACAGTCACAACGGTAACCTATATTTACAATACAAAAATACTTAAACCAGAATTAAGTTTACAATCTCATCCCAACATTCGTCAGGATGAACCTTTACTCAGATGGATGGATACAAAATGCTGCCTCTTGAAGAAATGGATATTTATTCCCGTTTCAGGTTATTCATACAGGTTTGATTGAGGGTGGAAGGAATCATACACAGCCATTAGAACTGTCACGTTTCTTGAAACTATTCTTCAAGGAGAGCCTTAATCCTCTTTAATCACAATGAAGATTTCCTAACAGCTAAGGAGGCTGGTGAGGGAATTCAGACTTGCTCAATTTAAAGTCTATCCAAGTGGCAGCAATTTCATCGTTCACAAATTTAGAATGGTAAACGGAGTATTGGGAGTTTGGTGATCTCCACATGCTGCTATTTGGGTGCCGAGCCACACCTGAATTTAGCCTCAGAATCATTGCATTCACTTTGATGATCAACAGTAGTTAACAGCGTAGACCTCAGTCCTGCTCTACTTCAACCAACATCTGGATTGATATAATAGGCAGTGATATTAATTTGATTCCCAAGACATCAAACTAGCAATATTGAGCACAGTATTCCTCCTTGTTCAATGAAGTACCGAAGCTGCTTTACGCAGATACCCTTTACGCAGATATGCCAAATACAAGTTCTCCCATCTCCCCACCTCTCAACACATTGAGCGATGATCCACTGCTTCCAGGATGTTAATACAACCAGAGAAACATCCCCCTCTCACTGCTACCCTTACTGTTACCCTGTGAATGGAATACAGGTGCAAGATGCTGCACATGCCAGCAAATGTAACGGTCATTCTTTCAAGTACAGCACAAATTCACCGTCTCTTTAAGCTGGTCTGGCTCTTTACGGTGGTGAACTTTCCTCCGTTTTCGTTCCTCACTGGATGGTAGTGTTCCTTTGTTGCCTGGCCTACATTTGGTTATAAATAGACTACTCCGATTTATCCTTTCTCTTTTTCTTCTTCTTGGAGCTTGGGGTCTCCTGTGGATGAGTGATGCCATTAGTATTGGGGAAACAAGAACACGTGGCACTCTATAATTTATATACAACACAATTTGGGACACGACATGTCATGCAACTCCAGGATGGTGGAAGGCGAACTAATGGACCTTGGTCTTTTGGCATAACAAATTATGTCCACTGAATATTTTTAAAAAGTACCTTTACGTGCCACTTGCTGTGTACGTACAGGCAAGGCAGATCATTTAACTATAGTCAAGGGAACCAAAGTTTTTGTTCTACTCAATTAACAAGTCCAGGGTTAAATTCCTAAACACGAAGCCCCAGTACTTGTACCTCTTTCTGTAACATTGGTAGAGCCCATTGTAATTTGGAGGAGAGCAGCAATCAGCACTTGGCTCGAACTAGGCCTACATTTGACGGTACGGCAACATGCTGCCACAGCCTTCTGGGCTTCTGTCAAAATACTATTAAATCGACACCACAGTAATGGACAAACCGAACAAGGCAATTACTGACAGCCTCATTCCAAATTCTCATCCAAGAAAATCTCACATCTCACCCACAAAATATACAGTCAGTTCACTTTGCAATACATCTTGTGAAGCACTTTGAGACGTACCCCAGCTTCTGCCTCTCCTGCACTCTCTAGTGATTTTTCTTTCTTTTTCTTCTTCTTCTTGCTCGATTCTGGATCCAATTCCGGGGTTGCCGGAGTAGACACTAACTCACCCCTTTCACTCCCTTGCTGCAAAAAGAAAAAAGTCAACAGAATAACAAAACAGTCCCCCCTAATGTAAAATAATCCCTTCGCCCTGTAAATACTGTACATGGCATGCATCCAGAGGAATCCGAAGCTAACATTCGTCTTATTGACCAACAGTTCAGAACAGCATAAAAATCCGCGAGTGGAATGCAAAGTTTAAGAAAACCCAACAAATGTGTAAATTAAGGGCCAAGCGCTAACAATAATTTAATGCCTAATAGCACCTTATTTTTAATGCTCAATGCCTTATTTTTGTCTAACAACCTACAGGACAGTTCAAGATCGCTGTTGGTTCAAGCCAATCAAAACCATCTTCAAATGTAGGGTTCACTGGTATAATTTCCTTTCAATCCCCGAATACAGCAATTTGAAGTATCATCACCATTAATTACCATTGCAGAAAGCTCTTCTGCATCCTCTAGTAACTTCTGCTTCTTTTCCTTCTTTTTCTCTTTCTTGCTGACTTCTGATACTGATTTGGGAGTTACTGGGGTAGTTGGCACTTCTGGCTCACTGTCACTTTCACTCGCCCTTTTTCTCTGTGAAGAGACGAAACAAGTTACTCATTACTGCAGAGTACAAGAGAATATTGGCATGTCACAGCAAACCAGTCAACATTAATCATCAGAGTGCATGGGAAGAATTTACGTGTTAGTAGAGTAACTATTTTTTGAACTGCACAACTGTACAATGAGGGCGCTATTGCACAAGGCAGACTATACAGGTGCATACAACTTGGGTAGAAAGGTCAGCACTACTGCACCAATATTAAATAACACAATGCTTGGGAACTCAATGTGCTTTGACAACTTTTATGTAAAAGGCAATGGTTGTAATTGCCAACTCAAAATGTTCCTATTTATGCCAAAATCCAGCGAGATTTCACATCAAAAACATGCACTGCGTCATACATGAACTCAGCGTTTAAAAATATGCATCAACTCAAGTGAGCAAATATCCTGACAGTTTGTCTCATATGCTACCAATCAGTTAGCTTTCTTTAGGGACACTGCCAGGGTTTGCCTATTCCTGCTTTCAAAATTGAGATTTCTTTAGGAATTAAACAAATATTTTATGACCTACCCAGTTAGTGCATACATGTATAAGCAAGTTTGCATCTTTCTCAATACAAACATTACTGATTTAACCAATTCAACCAATACTTGTAAAACATGTTTAGAATTATGCCTTAATTTGAAGCTAATGGTGACCAAAATCCCTAATTCAATGACAGCAAATAGACCAGTCAACCAATGTTAAGACGAATAAAGAGCGAACAGGAAAAACAAATTGTTTGCATTGAAGGATATGGGATTATCCAATCATGGGAATAAAAATAGCAGAATATTTACATCACTAACTTGTTCTCAGCCTCACTGAACTCTATGTTTAAAGTCGTAGTCAGAAAATGCAAAATCCAACAGTCACATTGGGCTGGGATCAGAGCTGCTGTTGCCAAGTTTACTTTGCAAACTGACTCCCTCTAATATCACAAGCCAGAATGGAGAGGGGGTAGCCGTTTGCTGTCAGTTCTCCCAATGTAGTTTAATAGTAATAAAATGACCATTGAACACTATGTTAAGGGATATGGGGCAAGGGTGGATAACTGGAGCCCTGATCTTATAAAATGGCAGAACAGGCTCGAGGAGCTGAATAGCCTACACCTGTTTCTATGTCGTAATTGCCCTCAACAGTGAGTTTCTACTGTAGTACACAGATTGCTTACCTTAACTTGCTCTGCTGTCTGTGCAGTCTTACTTCCACCACTAGAGGGAAAATAAACATGTGTTAACAGCCATTTTGTAGAAACATTCCCCCTTATCCTGAATCCAAACGCATTCAGAATCCGGCCAATTACCTATTTAATTGGTTACCAGATTCTCTCAATGGCAGTTAGGACAAACAAGGCAAAATTCTATCCAAACTCACTCTCAATATACTGTAGATTGGATTAGCAATTAACTCAATTCACTTCACAGTATACTTTGTGAACTGCTTTGAGACGCCTCAAAGATGTGATAAGGCACTATATCAAATGCAAGGATTATTATTTATTATATTTCCAGCTTCTAACCAATGTTTAAATGAATGAAGAGTAAACAGAAATGAGTTCTAAGCCTCACTGAACTCTGTGTTTACAATTGTTGCCAGAAAATGCAGAATCTGAAGACACGGGGGAACAGAGCTGCGTTGCCAAGTTCCTTTAGTAAACTGACTCGCTCTAAAGCTACAAGTCAGACTGGAGAGGGATAACGGTTTGCTGTCACCTCCCCCCAATGCAGTTTAATAGCATAAAATAATGCACATACCATCATGTCTTAATTTGACGCAACCTCAACTGCCTGTATATGAATCTCTAAAAGCAGATACCTCACCTTAAATATCCAAGGCACCAATTCATTCATCTACAGCACCAAAACCTGATTGAGAAATTCAATTCTCACCAATGGAAGCCCAGTATGTTCACCAATAGCAAAATGGGCCTGAATCCAAGCCCATCAAGTGTTAACTATTCATTACAGATTAAACAAATAGCAGCACAGTAAAACAATTGTGTGTGCACCCCCCCACCCCCAATGTATCTTATAATAACAATCCGTGCTTGATATAGTGCCTTATCACGTCTTCCGACAGCTTGCAGTGCTTCACATATACTGTAAAGTAAATTGACTGTATTTTGTGTAATTTTAGATATTATTATAAATTATAATATAATTGATATGTTATAATAATTATATCAGGCCTAGGTGTAATATCTAAAACAGCACTGTAAGTAATAGTGGAGCTCATTGAATAAATGAATGGAGTGCACCATCTAGTGGGGCAACTGCTAAAATGCATCAAACCCTCCATAGTTTTCACATTGATTGAATTTCACAATTAATTCTGAATGGATTCGTCTACAACAGAGTGGAAAACTTTGGAAACTTTAGGTCCAAAGTTGCCTAGTTCTTCCAAGCACGCACTTGTCTCAAACTACCAATTATTATTACGGTTAGGCTAGACAAGCCTTGGCAGTATATCCCAGGCCATGGTTGTCACTAAACAACTGTTCATACCTGTAATCCACGTAGTCCTTCTGCCATGCTACAGGTGTGCTTCCATTCGGTTTGCCATGCTTATCCAGTAGACCCTGCTTAATCATCAACTTCTTTTGACTTGCCTGCAAATAAAAAACTAGTCAGCGCACATTTAATCATCCTTGTGACTTTAAAACAGCACTGCACTCGATAGGATCAGCGAGACGAGAAAAGACCAAGGTCCATCTAATCCATCTTCTACCATCCCGGTAGTCAAATGCTACAATAAAGGAGGTATTGATAGTAATAAATTCTGTATGGATTTGTCTACAAGAGTGGAAAACTTTGGGAACTTTAGATCAAAATTTGCCTGGTTCCTCCAAGCATTTACTTGCCTCAAATTACTGTACTATATTCCACACTTGAACCAAGCCAGACTGCACTGCCATCAGTCTTGGGTGATAGATGAATGTCATCTTTACACAGAGTGTTAATGTCAAGTATTGATCATCATGTGGCTACAGTCTGGCTCAGCTGCTGCCCATTTATCACAAACAGCCTATTCCACAGAATTGAGTTAAAATTCAGATTTTATCATTGATGAGTTTCCCTTTATATTCGCTCTCCTGAACACTGATGTGTTAATGCCTTCTCAATTGAACAATGCACTGGAGCTCACCAATTCACTTCAAGATTTTTCATGAGATTCTCACTCGTCTTCAAATCCCTCCACTCCTCTGCACCACCCCAACCTCTCTGACCTCCTCTCTCCTCACAACAGTGCCTGTTGCCTTCATTCCACTGGGTCTGGCCCTCCTTGTCCTCCGAGTTCTCCGCTCCACCCTCGGCGGCCGTGCCTTCGGCTACTATGCTCCGAGGCCCTGGAACTCCCTTCGCCCCACCTTCCTATTTTCAGGTCTCTGCTGAAGACCTTTCTTTTCGACGGCGCCTTTGGTCACCTTCCTCCCCCTGGCTCCCCCCCCCCCCCCCCCCCCGGCTCAGCCCCGGGATCCGTTACTGTGAAGCGCTCTGAGACGCCATCTAGCGTGGAGGGCGCTATATAAATCCAAGTTGTTGCTGTCATTGATATTGTACGATCTTGACTTACCTTTGGCCCCAGCCCCCATTTACGAGGGTATGTGTCTCGCTCCATAATGACTCGCTTGATCTTTGCTACAATACCATGGTCACACGTTGATATCACTGCTGTAGTCATTAGTGCAATACCTGATGAAATACAAACTGATCAGGTATGCTGGAAGCACCTAATATACACATTAAACACATTGCCTACATTAACCTATCCTGTTGAGGTTGTGAGACAGTTGGGCAACAAACATCCAAGCTTCATAAGACTTTACTCATTAGACTACACCATATTTAGATTGGAATTAGCCCAGCATGGAGGAATGCATTAATCTCTAAAGAATTAAATGTAACTGTACAAAGTGTAAAAGACCAAGGTCCATCTAGTCCACTAGAATGCTAGAATAATGGAGATATTTATATTAATTAATTCTGCATGGATTCATATACAACAGTGGAAAACTTTGGGAATTCTAGATCCAAAGTTACCGGTGTCTTCCAAACATTTACTTGTATCAAATTGCTATTATAGTATATCCTCAAATATTATTTTCGACACTTGAACCAAGCCAGACTGTATTGCCATCAGTCTTGGGTGATAGATGAATGTCATCTTTACACAGAGTGTTAATGTCAAGTATTGATCATCATGTGGCTACAGTCTGGCTTATTAACATCTCTTACCTAAGCAAATCGCCTCTCCTTTTGTGGTGATGACAACTATCTCCTGATTCACCTCAATGCCATCTTCATACCGAAGGAGTCCAGGAAGCATGATCTTAGCCCCATAGCAAATGGCGTTCACCTAACAAAAGCATACAGCACCATGCTCAATAAAGCCACAGACCCAAGTAACACCAGTATGTTTATTCAGTTGCTTCAGGCTTAAGGAATGTGATCAAGATTATCAGATAGACCTCGTGTCCACCAGGATCACCCCAAATATGCAAACACTGGCTCTTCCCCCACTTAATGGTTCATTCACACGCACTTCCTCACCCTCTCCAAGGCCAGTGTTTTGCTCCCAGGAAAAGTTACAGCTATAAAACACTCAAGAAATTCAATCAGCATTCTGAACTGAATTACAAATTCCTATGCATGAGGACACTTACTGCGCTGTCCTTCATGACGATCCGTTTGTGGAGATCATCAACTTCTCAAGGGGATAAATGACACGGCGCAGATAAGTCTCATCCTTGTTGTTGTCGTATTGCCACTGTGCATCCAAAACGTCGTGCATGGTCACCAAGTTATCCTGAAGTTAATAAGTAAGCAAATAATTCTTGCATTTCGTACAGGAAATTTCTGTAGTACTTCTGTATGTGTAAGTGAACCTGGCAGCCAATTTGCACAACAATAGTCAGACAGTAAATGACCAATTTTTATCTGCAGTGATCGTTTGCCATTACATCAAGAGAAACTATTTGAATAATGACGTATGATTTTAATATCCACTTGAAAAAGCAGATAGGATATCTATAAGTTTAACATCTTACCCAAAATACAGTACAACAACAACAACAAGATTCCATTTATAGAGCGCCTTTCACGTCGGGAGGACGTCCCAAGGCGCTGTACAGTTGGGTCAGGACCCGAGCAGGGGGCAAATGGTGAGGGGAGGGAAGGGAGGGAGCGAGGAGGGTTAGAGAGTCGAGAGGGGAGCTGAAGGCACGGTCAAAGAGAAAGGTCTTGAGACCGGCCTTGAAGGAGGAAAGGGAGGAAGCGGCGAAGGCACTGGGGGATGGAGTTCCAGAGCCTCGGGGCTGAGAGGCTGAAGGCCACCAATGGTAGGGCGGTTGGGGCGGGGGATGTGGAGCAGACCGGAGCCAGACGAACGGAGGGTACGGGGGGGGTACGTGGGGGGATAGTAGGTCGGAGAGAGCAAGGCCGTGAATGGCCTTGTAGGTGAGGATGAGAATCTTGAATTCGATCCTCTGGGGGATGGGGAGCCAGTGGAGGCGAGCGAGGGTGAGGGTGGTAGTGAGGGTGGGAGTGATGTGGTCACTGGTGCGGGACAGTACACGAGCTGCAGAGTTCTGAATGACCTGCAGTGTGGAGGGAGGGCCGGGAAGGCCGGCGAGGAGAGAGTTCCCGTAGTCCAGCCTTAAGGTGATAAAGGTGTGGACCAGAGTTTCAGCAGCGTGAGGGGTGAGGTAGTGCCGTAGTCTGGCGATGTTCCGGAGGTGATGGAAGGCGGTGCCAGTTGTGGCGCAGATATGAGGGAGAAAGGACAGCTCAGGGTCGAACAGAACCCCGAGGTTCCTGATGACTTTGAGAGGTGGAGAGTGCGGCCTTGGATGCTGATGGTGTCAGCGCCTGAGGTGCGGAGGCGCTGACGTGAGCCAATCAGGAGGGCCTCAGTTTTGCGCACGTTGAGCTGAAGAAAGTTGTCTCTTGTCCAGGACTCGATGTCGGACAGACAGCTGTCAGGACATCGGTGGTCGTGGAGTTGAGAGTAGAGGAGGAAAGGTAGAGTTGGGTGTCATCCGCATATATGTGGAAGTTAACCCCATGTCTGCGGATGATGTCACCAAGAGGAAGCATATAGAGGGTGAAGAGGAGGGGACCGAAGACAGAGCCTTGAGGGACACCGCAAGAGACAGTGCGGGGGCCGGAGGAAAAACCATTCGTGGAGACAAAGTGAAGACGGTGGGAGAGGTATGACCTAAACCACTCAAGGACAGGACCTGAAGGTTTAGGTGGGAGGACAAGCGGTGGAGGAGGATAGCGTGGTCGACTGTATCAAATGCTGCCGATAGGTCGAGGAGGACGAGGAGGCAAAGGGAGCCCTGGTCACAGATGGTCAGGATATCATTGGTGACCTTGACCAGGGCAGTTTCTGTGCTATGGGCAGCACGGAAACCCGACTGAAGGGGTTCGAATAATGAATGGTTGGAGAGGAAAGAGCGCAGCTGGGAGGCGACAACTCGTTCCAGGACCTTGGACAGGAAGGGGAGGTTGGAGATGGGCCGGTAGCTTGATAGCTGCGACGCATCAAGGGAGGGTTTTTTCAAGGTGGGAGTGATGGTGGCAGTTTTTAAGGGAATGGGAACAGAGCCAGAGGAGAGGGACAGGTTGATGATGTCTGTGATATGTGGGGCAAGGAGGTGGAGCTGGGAGATAAGGAATGGAGTGGCGATGGGGTCAAGGGAGCAGGTGGTGGGTTTCAGGGATAGGATGAGTTTGGTGACAGAGGGTGGGGAAACGGGTACGAAAGTGTGTAGGGGAGGATGGGTAGGAGTCGGAGTGTGGGAGGGAAGGGGTGGGGGGTGGGTGGATGTTGGAGGGGAAGTGACCGCGGAGCGAATTTCCTTGATTTTGGATTCAAGGAAATCCAGCATCTCCTCGCAGTGAAGGTTGGAGGAGATGACCTGCGCGGGGTGGCGGGGGGGAACAGAGGAGTTGGGATGTGGTAGAAAACAGTAGCCTGGGGTTGTCCTTCACCTCCAGGATTATCCTGGAGTAGAAGGACGATTTGGCCGAGGCTAGAGTGGAGCGGTAGATTTTGAGGAGGTCCAGCCAGATTTGTCGGTGGACTGTTAGGCCAGATTTGACCCTCTAACAAAAAGCATTAAAGTACAGCCTAAATTATGAAGCCAATGTCTCGATGTGGAGGTTGTACCAAAGGCAAAAGTGTTACCAATCTGAGTCAGGCTGACACTTAAATAAAGCATCTTTACATTTCAGGCCTCAACAAAACTAGATACATTATGTTCTTATATAAAATTGTTAGCCAGAGGTCTGTCTGATTGGCAAATACATCACCATCATGTTCTGTGACCAATTGCCTTTCACTCTTCCAAAGCTTAATTACCAGAACAGGGTTAAGTGCCCTGCACCAAACTCAACGCTTTGGGATATATTTGGGCTTAAATGAAAAAAGATACATATCTTTATCCTAGGAGTTTGCATCAATTTAGCATATATCTTACTACATCACCAACTCAATTACTTTTAACCAATTTAAAGAGGTTGGTCTCACTGCATTACATTAAAGTGGCATCATTAGGAGTTGACAAACACAGGGACATGCCTACCCTTTCACAAAGTACACCAGATCGCACTCGTCTCAGCTCCTGCATCTGACCTCCAACCCCAAGCAGCAGGCCAAAATGTACACAGAGTGTTCGGATGTAAGTTCCTGCTTCGCAGCTCACCCAAAAGATACCTGAAAAAAGTAGGGGGAAAAACATTCATCAGATACCACTGTACATATCTGTTCATAACTATAATTTATGCATCATAATTTCACCCGACAATGAAAGGCAAACACTCTGAATAAGCTACCAGTCATTAACGTTAAGGAAATTTTATCCTATAAATGCATAGCTGCAGTATTTCCCCAATTTCCATCTCCATTCAAGATGTGAAGAATACCCGGCTATTTTAAGCCAAACCAGTATCTTCCAATATCAAACCACGAGTCATGCACTCAATTTTGTCAAACAAATAAAGAACATTTGCCTTCAGCCTAAAGCGTCGAACATGAAGAATTTCAAACTGGATTCTTCAATAAGGAATCAGTCGTACAAATGGCTACTCCTGCTAACACCCCAAATATATTACATCAACACTTGACTTCCAGAATCAGTTCTGGAGAAAATTCCCCATAGGATTCCTTAAAAGTAAAAATACAAGCGATCTTCACCACTAGCTATTACCAACTACACAGCAATATGCCTACAAGCCAGCTTCATTTTCGCACTGAGATGAACCACATCATATATAGCATTGACTTAGAAATCTATCATTTAGAACGCTAACCTTCAACCTACACAGCGGTGACAGGAACCACAAGTAAATACTCACCTAACCGTCTTTCTGGATCATATTCAAGTAGTTTGCTCTCATAAATTGTCCGAACACGCAACTGCCTCTTTACAGCTGCAATCAGAGGGGGTCGCTGGAACAAGGCGCCAGTGAGCTGATCCATGGCCTGAAGTGAGTAACACATTTTGCATAAGGGATCGTGAAGTGCATAAATAAAACAGGGAAATCATGGCACAATGACCCTGACAGCTGAGGTGATCCAAAAATCTTCACTAAATGCATCACTAATGTACAACAACAAGTACAACAACCTTGATTTCAGAGAGGAAACAATACAGCTCCAATATTTGGAATAAACTGGAACCTCAACCACTATAATTAAGCGATCTGAGACGCTGCCGTGTGTGAAGGCCACCACATACACGTAAGTTGCGGTTGTTAAAACACAACACTTGGGACTAATTAGTATTACTTTGGTACGTAATCAGATTGCATCAATCATCTTTGTTGAGTTGGATCCTAGAAGGGTCGAACTCTGCCAAACCCCCTCATACCCACAGGCACCCAAACAGGGACCAACAGCCCCTCAGTAAAACACCGATTGACCAGTTGGTACAAGATGGATGCACGACACCCAGAGTGTAAAACAGAACTGTGTGCTGTGGGGTGAGTGGCAGGCTGCACTCTGCGAATGGATAAACACATTCATCATTTTACGTACACATTGCTACAAAACATAAAAGTTAGTCAGTAGAACGATCAAAGCCTCCGGTGTAGAACAGAAAAGCTTTACCTTGGTCAGTCATGCACCAAGATGCCTTAATTTAGAATCAGATATTTCATGAATTAAACACTATTCGTACCTAGAAATAATAACAATAACTTATATAGCGCACTCCATGCAGGGTAGCGTCTCAGACCGCTTAACAGTGGCAGAGCCCAACTCCAGCTGGGGGGAGGTGACCATGAACATGGCCGAAGAGGAAAGTTTTCAGGGGCGACTTGACAAAGGGGAGAGAGGGGTCAAGGTGGAGGGATTGAGGCAGAGTGTTCCAGAGTTTTGGGGTGAGTGTTCAATAACAATCATCATTAGCCGTCACTAAAATCCATCCTGGAAGGAAAATCCCTAAACATCTCCTATATTTCCTGCTGGAACATTGCAAAGTCTCGCCAACCCTCCCTGGAAGCCCTAGCTAGACAAATAACCTGACACCCAACGTGGAAGACTTACCCTGCTAAGCTGAAGTTCACTTTCAATAGCATTGTGCAGCCGAACAACTCCCACATACTCTTTGCCTGCAAGTAACAGCAGTAGAGTAGTTAGGAAAGGCCACTGTTATTGTTTCACAAGTTGTGAAGTTAAGCTTTCAAATGAAAATACCAGTATACACATGGCACTCCCGCCATATACTGTCTGAACCCCAGGACCATACAAGAAACTAACACCCATTACTTACAATGCTTTCTACATCAACCATTAACCATTACTGAAGTCCCAGGTGTCACCAAATGCTATTGCAAAATTCTGTAAATAATCCTCAATAAAAATTGAAAGACCAGGGAATTCGGGCAGGAGAGGAAGAATCACTTACCAGCACTCTGTTGGGATTTTACTAATCTTGTTGCTCTTTCTACGCACACAATCAGACATCCAGTTACTTTAGGGTCCAACGTTCCACTGTGACCAGTCTTTTCCACGCGAAGGATTCTACGGATCCATGCCACAACTTCATGCGAGGACGGGTTTGCTGGTTTGTCCAGGTTAATAAAACCAGTCCTGGGAAGACAGGCCACGAACATTCAATATTTCTTTTTAATTAGCTAGGTTGAGAATTCGTAAGATAATTTCACAGAGGATCAATACAACCATCATTCTTTTTTCTTAATCTTGCAAGATCACATTATAGATGGGAAGCCAAATTCTAATTCCTAATGTTGAAGCATTTATTACATCATTCTTTCTATTGAATTTCAGCAGCAACAATACTCATGGAGTTAATGGCATCCAGTGCAACTATCTGGACACAAACTACCAAACTGATTCACCTAACAGTAACCTCACTAACCAACTCCTTAAAACTTTTTCTCCAGCATCACTCTGCAGATTAATAAGATACATAGAATGTACAGCACGGTGGAGGCCATTCAGCCCATCGAGTCTACACTGTCTTTCAAAGGAGGTGTCCAATCAATGCCACCACCCTGCCTTTTCCCCATAGATTTGAAATTATCAAAAACATGTACGAATGTAATATTGAACCAGCTCCTTTTCCCTTCCAGAAACCGCAGTGCTTCAAATAGGAAGCTTACCTAACATAGTCTGCAATTTCCCTCTTAAGAGGAGAGCAACCATTTGGCACAGGTGTGTAATGTGCTGTCCGCACATTGAGTTTATCGAAATTCTGCAATAAAAAGATTGTGATTTAGAAACAGAAGCAGCTCCAGTTAAATCATTCACAAGGAGGAACACAAAACGCAAAGCAATGCAGGTATGCCAGGTACAAGTGTCTCACAAAGTGCAAATCATCTTATAACATCAGTCCTGTAAATTTGCAGTTACTGGAAGTAAGGTACACTCCCAGAACAGATTCACAATCTGGAAGCATTGCATTACAATTTTGTAGGGACTCAAAGCACCATGTTATATGGGTATCACTCTGCACCAATACAAAATTTCTAACTATACAAAGCGGAAGCAGCAAATAAATTAAGCTGTTCTATAAATACACGTACAAGTTGCATACATCATAACTGTACTTTTGGATTTGACCATTACCTTCAGCAACAGTGGCCACTGAGACGTATCCAACTTCACAGTTTTTGATTCTGGTTTGATTAGAAAATCTGTTGTCTGCTGTATGTCCTGCGAAGAAGCACATGTTCAATTAACACACATCATACTGACTAAATCCTAGATTTAGGCATCAAGTAGTTGATCGTTTTATGGAGATCACTCCCTACATTATGCCAACATGTTCTGAATAAAGCAACCAAAAAGGTGATAAACACAACCATGTTATTGCTAACTCCCCAACCGCAATAAATAAGATTACATTCATTCAAAGCAAGTAACAATTCAGTGGCATGATTGGGCGTTAAGATTCAAATGCCACAACAGCGACACCACATGGCCTGACTACTCAAATTAATTTGGGTCTGCATTCATTGGTCTGCAGGCCTCTGAATGCAGTAGTGCATTTGACTCCCCGATTGAAACAACCACCAGTGAATATTACTGCTCTGCTCGAATGGCTGCTCATTGAAATAAGATCCTCATACCACATGCTCACAAACCCAACTATGCAAATTTCACGATTAGACATTCCCTGAAAACCAAAGATAGAAACTACAATTGCAATTTTTTTGTAACAACCCTGAATATGAACCAACACTTTATGAAAAAATGTCCCAAATCAAAAGAGCAACTATGTGACAAAAACATATTAAACACTTACCCCAACACCCTCGTCAGTTTTCTTCTTGTGTTTTTTTTGTTTTTTAGAGCCTGGGAAAAGGTGGAATACATTTAGACCCAAAAGTTTCATTTAAGATTAGGTTCTGTAGTCCACACTAATAACAAAATGGCAGAAATCACAGCATATAGCGCCCAAAATTTACATCTAACCTGCAATTTACTCATCCCAAACCCCCACTTTACATTCTCCCAGGTGACTTTTAACGATTACTGAGCAGAAGGCAGCCAATCGACCCATCGTGTCCCTCGGGATGCTTTTAAACAGTTACAGCAAAGCATTCTCTCACCTCATGATAGTCTCTTAAACCTTCCACTGAGGATCCTAATACATTAAAAATTAAAGTGGGTGAGGGGGGGGGGGGGGGGGGGGGGGGGGGGGGGGGGAGTAAACTATTTAGGGGAAGACCGTTATTTTGTTGTCTGGGCTCTCGATAGTGTAGACTTGTTTAAATACTACGCCGCGCATTCACACGTGCAACGATGAACGCCGTTGGGACTAAACGTTTTGGGGCACATCCTTTTGTGCTCTTCCAATAAATCGAGAACGCCAAAATTGGTGCTTTAAGCACTGAAGGCCTTTTTTCTCTTTCTCTCCCTCTCTCGCTTTCTTTTTCGTGTGCAAAAACTGCACGAAAACGTCCACAACGGGGAATAATTCTCCAACGGCCGAAGCAGTTTGCAACGGCCAAAGAGAAAAAAATAAATGAAGCCGTTTGAGGAGAAAATAAACGGGTTGATTTCCGAGCGTGTGCGCGTATTTGAACAGCTCGCGGGATCGAGCCCCGGGCAATCAAGCACAGCGGCCTTTCCCGAGATGGCTTTCTGAGGGGGTTTTTTTTTCGCCCCCAAACCACTGTCTCTGAAAATAATACGTATTAATGCATTAGGATTGTCGGGTGTCAGACGAATAAATGATTTCTCTCTCAGCACTCGGGGAGGGGGGGATTTGCAGGCGCTCTCTCACACACACGCGCGCGCTCGGAGCGCGGCAGCCGCTGCCACGTGCTGAGGGAAGCCCGTCATGCGCTCGCGGCCCTGGGGTGTGGGGGGGGAGGAGGCCCGCGAGGCGCTGCCCGCCCGCACCCCGACCTCCTCGCTCGCCGTTTCCCGGGGATTGAGTGAATGAACAAGTGAAGAATAAGGAGGAGACGAGGAGGAGGGGGGAGAGAAGCACAGAGGCTTGCGGGAGACACGCTGGCGGGAAAGGGCGGCAAAGCCCCCCGCCGCCGCGCGGCTCCTCATCCCCCTCCCCGCACTCACTCAAGTCACCACACTCCCTCCATTCCCGCCCCTTGTCCCACGCTTCACCCCGCCCGCCCGCCCGCCTCACACCGCCCAGCCCGAGCCCCGCGCTCACCATCCCCGTCCGCCATCTTCTCGCCGCCGATTCCGAAAGACCGAAGGGAAGCACCGACCCACAAAGCACCGCGGCGCCGCGCATGGCAGCTGCCAACCAACCGGCCGGGCCGCCCCGCGGCGCACGCGCACAGCGCTCCACACCCGCCCCCTTCCCGCTGGGGGCGGGGCGGCGGCGGCCTTCACACTGCGCATGACAGCAACACAGTCACGGCTGGAGGGGAGGGCGCAATGCTCCTCTGCGCGCCTGCGCATTAGCACATTGATCCCCAACCCCCACACACACTGTGCATTGTTATATAACATTATCATCATTCCCTGACTGTTTGTGGGACGCCTCTGTGTGCAGTTGGCTGCCAGGTTTCACCCGCAAAACATGCAGTCAATTTGCTTTACAGTTTACTCGTAGGATTCTGCAGCTCAGTGGTGAGAGCACTCGCCTCGCAAGCGAGAGACCTGGGTTCGGTTCCCGGCAGGTCAGGGCGAAACCTTGGGCAAGGTTCCTTACTCCACACGCCTGATAATAATCCCTCAAGAAAAAAAAACAATAAAATTGGTCACTTCAATCCACGACTGTTTGTGGGCCATTGCTGTGCACAATTGGCTGCCTCGTTTTGCCCACAAAATACAGTCAATTCACTTTACAGTATATTCTGTGAAGCGCTTTGAGACATCTAGAAGACGTGAAAAGCGCTATTTATCAAATGCAAGGATTATTATTATTATCCTTTGATTTGACAAAGATGCCTGTCATCGTTGGCCAAGGTGTGGTTATCACTAGTTGAAAACATTTCCTAATACTTCAAGCCTTTTCTTGAAAACTGTGCAAACAGTCTTTCTGGAATTTCAAGACTTGCTTTGAAATATTAATCAAGCTTGACAATGTATGATGGTTCCTTTGGGGAACTGTGTTTCACAATTAAAGTTAGAAAGAAATGGTTTCGTCATATTTAAATTCTCCTGGTAAACAAACATGAAGAAACCATTTAAAGAGTTCATTCTGAAATGTTGGCAATTACTTTGTTCTCACTGTGTTTCATTGAACTCTGCATTTCTGCTCTCATGAATTCAATTTTCCTCACAGGAATTCTCTTTGGCTTGGATTTCTGGAATCATTCTGAAACTTCGACAAGAATCAAACCAGAAGCAACTTCAAGATTACATTATAAAGTACAGTATTTTACTTTCCTATTGTGAAATTCAGGAAAGGCGGGTGTTGTTTTGTCTGGTGCAATTGATTTGAGCAGCCTAGATAAATCATTCAGTCTTCAGCAAAGCTAGTTTATTTGAGGTTAAATACGTGTTACAATGATTTTAGATCTGATTACCAGCAGCACAATTGGACTTTAGTTTCTAAAAACATTCATTAGGAAAGTACATAATTATCGATATAAACTCTGCAGGTTAAAAGAATGTGATAAACATAAAACTTCTAATCTGATGACAGATTACACAATGTGCATAGACTTGTTGAATCCCTGGCACACACATGGTGAGCAGGAATAACTCAGCTTTTCCCACGTGAACTAAAACATCATTTGAGACAGGACCGAAACGTGTCTGTGCAGTGATCCATACGGCTGACAAAACTTGGTGCAAATAATTCCCGTTAGTTTCTGTGCGCTTGGTTTTGCCTTCTTCAGGAGACACCGTGAAAAGAGAGGTGGATGGTTGTTGAAAGCTGGAGGATAGAAATCCTTCTGAAACGATGTGTCCAAAATGTACCATTAAACCCAGTGCAGAGATGGCAACAAACCCCCTGTGCTAAGTTGGGAAGTGCAATGCTAATAATGCTGGGTTTTCAGCCCATTAGCCAGTTTTCATGTCCTCAAATGTTATTGACTAAGAGCTTAAGATCAGAGAGAAATAAAGGGAAACAACTGTGGGGAATCGCAAACATATTCTAGACATTTTTGAAATTAGTTCATGGACACAAGGTTATTTTTGAGCAAAGAAAGCGATTGTGATGCAATCATAAACTTGATTGTTTTGAAAAATATTGCGTTGTATGATCTTAAAAGTCTTTAAAATATGACATTCATTGATGTCAAATCACCAGTCAAAGATCAAGCATTAAATCTAGAGTTTGGAGAAATGGCAGACATCTCCCACAGATAGTCCATCGTCAAAGTTCAGCCACTTGGTACTTTTCATACCTTAATACCAAGAAATCTTGCTGTGTTGAGCACGTCATCCCTGGTGAGATAACAGCCACACAGTCGACGGTAACCAGTAAATGCTTCTCGACCATGTAATACTCTCCAGTTATCCACAAATAAAATCTGTAGCAAATATAGGAAACCATTAAGAGACTTGCTTATCACAATTTGGCATGGATCAGAATTTGGATCCTCCAAAATTAGGGATTTATCAAAAAAGCATTTCAAACAGACAGCATTGCATCTTTATATTTCTCCTACACAAAACTGATGTGAATAAAGTACAAGTATGCCAAGGATCAGGTTTGATATATTTGGTCTATAATCAGGCTTTTAAATTGTATTTAATATTATATAGTTTTCGTTTAATATTTTTTAAGTTGTATTTGCTACATATAGAAGGGTAGAAAATCATCTTTTCAATCCTCATCCCCAAGTAAAAATCATAAGGAAAACGGGGACAAGTGGGCAACATGGGGGACAAGACAATTTGCAACACGAGTGGTTCAATAGCTGTTTAAAGAGATGGGTGCCTTGTGCATATTAGGTCTGAACTGTGGTTAAACTGCAGCAGACAAGTAATAATAATATATAATAAATAAATAAGACAAGTATAGTTTTAAACAATCAGACCCATTAAATGTGAGTAACTGAGAATCTGCATATCGCTACCACAGGGTAAATGTCCCTAGAAGGTGACTCCTTCAAGTTTACTCTTTAAGCCTTCCGACACACCACTCTGCATGAAGGCAGCTACATAAATGCAAGTTGTTGTTGGTCCTAACTTGAGGTCCAAATTGTCCAGCATCCTCTCAATGTGAAAGGTCCAATATAAATGTTGAGGTTAGGTATTACAAGCAAATAAAATCGCAGATGTGTCTTTCTGATAAGAAAGGTGCTATATAAATGTAAATTGCTGTTGGTAGTTACCAGTTGCTTATACATACTTAGCTATTTTACTTTGAGATTGAATGTTTGGTTGTTTAAAACACTCCTGGTTGGAAGGCTATGTTTACTGCAGCTCCAGGCAATAGGTACATTTGTGCTCACACCCCAGGATTTCTGAACGAAGGTTAATCTGCAAAACCTAAAAATGTACAAGAGTAAACAGCGGCTTCCTTACCTTTCCAGGCTTGAGCTTCACCCATATTTCATTCTCAGGCTTTCTGAGTTCTGTTGTAAGGGCACGATGTGCAACATACCATTGGTGGACTACATCATAAGGTACTGTGTTTATAACAGCTCGGTCATAGTTGTTATACCTGTAGACAGAACACTGGTCAGAAACAGGACTAATCATTCAGAACACAGAAATTCTACACAGTAAAGATAGTGGAAAATTTATTCTGGAAGTGGAAAGTTCATTCTAACCAACCATATAGTGAGTGGAAACAGGACAAAGGGAGAGAAATTCCTCACAGGCCAGCATGTGGTGGAGAAGAATTTGCATTACTTACTGGGACTTCTGCAGTCAATGTGAGGGTGCCTCCAATAATTCTGGATGTGGCACATTTAAATAAGGTCAATGTGAGGAACTAGATGCCTGACTGGCTGATCAATCCATCCTTGTCTAAAAGACTTTAAGTCTGAAAGAGGCGTAGCTCTGATCACTGTTCAACATTCATAGACAAAACTGGAGCATCTTTCGGGATGTAGATACTGCTCTTTGAGCCACGTAGACTGAAGTGCTGTAATATCTCTCAGTTGAGGAATACAAACGTTAAAAATATCAGTTTAGTATTATAAGCCTCACCTTATCATGTACAATTCATTATTCCATGGATAAATATTAAGGACAGGTCCAACACCAATCATATGATTGTGGTAGTCTGCAACATTCTCTATATATTCGTGTTTTATTGGGACTTTGGTAAGTACGTCAAAATGATCTGGATTCTCTTTTCGTATGTTTTCTGCAGCATTAAATCCATCCACCAACAACGTTCTTCCACCTGTCCCGTCATGCCTCAGACAATGGAATAGCTGAACTCTGAAAGAAGGCAAAGAAAAATCTTATGAAATAAAGCAGCAGGCGATAATTCTGACACTTTGTTTAAAGAGTTTAGCAGTACTCATCATTTATGACACTTAGATTATGGACAGCATGTTGAGGATGCTTTCACTTCTGGGGTTGAAACAGGTCAAACCTGATTGTTTTGTGCCCCCAAAGGGGAAATGGAAGGGAAAACAAGAAGAACCATTAATTGTGCGATATCCCAGCAAGCATTTAACATACCCACAAGGTTCCTGGAAATACGTGGTGTCGACGTGCCGATCCAGTGCCACTTTGGTGTAAGCAGTGTCACCACGAGAGAAGTCTGACGTGAAATCCCACATTCGACCATAAATAGACTCTCTGGAATCAGGACACCAAATTAGTATCACATTAAGAAGCATTTTAAAATATTGTGTTGTATTTAATATCTTTGCGCTATGAATTCATTGAAACAAACTGGCCAGCCACATGTTGCTTGCTCTTTAAAAGAAGCCAAAACTGACAATAAACCCAATCTTTTTGTCTGTAGCAAGTCTAAGGTAAATGCAATTCAGTAACATACATGGCATGGCAAAAGAACCAGGGGGAGATCATAGAATGATACAGCACAGAAGGAGGCTATACGGCCCATCGTGTCCGTGCTGGCTCTTTGAAAGAGCTGTCCAAATTAGCCCCACTCCCACTCTCTCCTCATAGCCCTGCAAATTTATCCTCCCCAAATATCTATCTACTTCTCTCTTGAAAGTTGTTATCGAATCGGGTTCCACCGCCCTTTCAGGTAATGCATTCCAGATCCAAACAACTCAGATGAGAATTTTTTTTCCTAAATAAACGCAGTGAGTTGTTACGATCTGGAATGTACTGCCTGAAAGGGTGGTGGAAGCAGAACCAATAATAACTTTCAAAAGGGAATTGGAATAGATACTTGAAAAGGAAAAAGTTGCAAGGCTATGGGGAAAAGAGCAGGGAAATGGGACGAGCTGGATGGCTGTTTTAAAGAGCCGGCACAGGCACAATGGGCCGATCGGTCTTTAGTGCGGTAGGATTCTATGAGTAAAATTTGGTATGTGTGGGAGGGGATATGAATCCTGGGCTGTGCTTATTTAGCTACCTCAGCCAGACAAGCAGCTAGCCTTGGGCTGGGAAGGAGAAAGATATATATGACAGGAGGGGGAGGGAAAGATGGGACAACTGAGAACTATAAAAGAGTAATTCTGCTGAGTTAAAGCTGATGGACCCACAACCTCTGGAATATCACTGTTAAATACAAAGCTCTCACCTTATTATGCCAATACGTAGAGCTACTGCCTCAGTCGCTTCAATACTCGCAGGGACTTCGTCAACAACAGAGAATCCGTACAATAGGAAAGCTTCTAAGAATTTTTTAAATTCATCAACAGAGTCCATCAGGCCATTGTAAGTGACGTATGGCATTTGGGCATCTTTATAGATGGCAGCGTTCCAGAGAACACTAGGTTGAACATAATCCTTCTGGCCTTCAAAAGAGTGTTTTGCCAACCATGACAATCCATACTTGGTCATGTGTTTATCCGGCCCTGGAGATGAAAAGGAAAATAATATAATCCTTGCATTTGATATAGCACCTTATCACATCTTCGAGACGTCTCAAAGCGTTTCACAGAATATACTGTAAAGTGGATTGACTGTGTATTTTGTGGGCAAAACGTGGCAGCCAATTGCACACAGTAGTGTCCCACAAACAGTCATGGATTGTGTGGCCAATTATTTTTATTTATTTATTTTGAAGGGATTATTAAGGCGTGTAAGAAGAAGGATGACATGACAGTAACGAAGCAAGTGGCAATTATATTTGGATTTAGCAAGACATAATATGAATAAATGAAATGTGGTTTTCTAGTTAAAAACATTTTATGCTTAAAGCGCAAGTGCTTAAATGCACCCAGAATGCTCAACAGTGGCAGAGCACAATGCCAAGTCGGGGGAAGGAAGGTCAATCGAAGAGGAAGGTCTTCATGCGCGACCTGATGACGGGGAAGGAGGGGCCAAGGTAGAGGGAAAGAGGAAGAGTATTGTAGAGTTTCGGGGCAGAAAGGCTGAAAGCACGGCCACTGATCGTGGAACAGGGGGCATGCATGAAGGGACATGCAGGAGGCCAGTGCCAGTCAAGCATTAGATGCAATGTCTGGTTTATTTTCATTTAACAGAGCATGGTCCCCTCCCATCACACATCCTTTCACACCCAAATCAGCAGTCACTTTAGTCTGAAACTTTATCTGGATTTTATGGATGGTAGTGGATGGGAGACTGGCGAGGAGGGCGTTAGGATAGTCCAGCCGAGAGGTGACAAAGGCATGGACTAGGATTTCAGCGGCTTTCGGAGAGAGGTATTGGCGGAGGTGGAAGAAATCCACTCTGCGTGTTTGTAGGCGAAGGTGGCAGCCAATCTGCACACAGCAATGTCCCATAATCAGCCATGAAGTGAATGACCAGTTTTGTTTATTTGGGGGATTATTGGCCAGGATATTGGGAGAAGCCCTATTCTCTTTCCAAGTTAGTGCCACGGGATCTTTAATCTTCACCTGAACAGGTTGATGGGACCATGATTTAATGTCTCATCTGAGGGATGTCACCTCCGACAACGTAGTGCACCCCCAGCACTGCATTGGAGTGTCAGCCTAGAGTCAGCAAGTGTCTGCTTAAAATGCCGTTCTAAATTTTTACTTTTTTTTGGCATAGCAACTGTAGCACCACAAACCAAGTACACTGGTTTTAAAGTTCTCGCTTGCGTAAACAATTGTTCTTCCCAAGCGGGATCAAACTCTCTCAACGGGATGTCCTCTTCATATTTTCTTTTTGACACTGTTTTTGACAATTCTTACTGTTATTGGAGTTATTTTTAAAATGCGTTGAGTGCCACTACTGAGAGCTTTGGCCACCACTGGCTTAGACTGTCTGATGTAACGCTTGAACCCACAACCTTCTGACTCAGCGGTGAGATCGCTACCAACTGAAACCACTTGACACTAAATTGGGATGTTTGAACGGGAGATAGTTGGGAACTAAAGGATGTGGGGAAAAAAAACAAATAGGTTTAAATGAAACCTGCCTTGATCTAATAAAAAAGCAGGCCAGATCTAATGGGCAAAATGACCGACTCCGTTTTATAGTAAGATAGTTTTTATCTAGGATAATGAAATATTCAACTTTGTATTGCATTCGCAATGAAGAATTCTTCCTTCTCTCCATACACAATTAGCCAAGTATTCCCAAATTAGTTTTACATTGGCGAATGAACCCAGAAACAAAAGAAGGTCTGGGATTCATTACAGCATTTCTGGTAGATTCGACAGAAACTGCACATCATTACAGCCGGGCAAAATACCAAACTAGTTGGATTACAGGCCAGAAGCAATGATAGCACATGGTGATTTCATGCCAACAGTGACTAAAGGAAAGGACACCGAGTTTGTTATAAAAAGGAATGTGCTGAGCGTATGAAGGAGTCAAGTCCCTTACAAGTGATGTAGATCGTGTCTTTATCTGAACGGATCTCTGATGGTTTGATTGTTAAATCCACTTGGGCCGTATCCAAGCTCCGCTGATTTGTCTTTGTATTGTAGCACGATGGAGATCGACAATGATCACGTAGCCAAACGTAATCTAATCGCATCACCAAGTCTGAATACTTCAGCTCTGGAATACCAATAAGAGATCTTTAGTGCATTTACTTAAAGAGGTTTAACAGATGTGAACTACTGAGCGATGCATCACATCAAGGGAAAGTTACTAGTGGAGAGGTTGAAACAGAAAGGAAAAAAAAAGAAGAGACGGGTGGGAGGAAAAAACAAGAGAAGCTGATGATACTCGAAGCTGCCTTGCACCTTAACTTTTAAGAAGTCCTCAAAAGTACCGAGTGTATAGAATCTATACTTGGAGAAATCGCACTACATCATTGATAACTATTCATCTGAAAATCTTATCAGTACATAGTGAACTAGAGCACATTATATCTATTTGGAGAAGCTCCTAATCTTTGACCTGACAAATTGATAACACTACAATGCTATGTGGGATAAGTCTGATTTCCCAGCTTCACTGTTGAGTACAGAGTTCACCACACTGAGCAATGAGTTACAGGAAGGTAAATCACTCTGGGAAACTTACTCCTGTAGTCAAAGCCCAAATCAAGACTACCGTTGGTTGAAAGAGATAGGGTGAAAACCTAAAGGCAAAAGTAAAAACTGGTAAAAATGTGATATTGAAATTTAAGATTAAGCAAACAAATCCACATGAATTCTTGTACCCAAATCGCAAACTGACACCACTCTACTTAGAATCATAGAATCCTATAGCACAGAGGGCCCATCATGCCTGTGCCGGATCTTTCAAAGAGCTACCAACTAGTCGCACTCCCCCACTCTTTCCCCATAGCCCTTGTAATTTTATTTTTTTTAAGTAAACATCCTTTTGAAAATTATTACTGAATCTTACCCAAATGATCATTGTGCAACCACCAAGAACAGCCCAGAGTTTCTGGAACGCTGTGTTGCCATCTTTGTAAAGCTAAAGCAGGTAGCGCCTTTCTCATTGGACATTGCCATGGTCTTTGGCCTTGAAGATCAGCCCTCAGCAGGTGCTGTACCCCAGAGCCGAAACGTAGCAGCCGGTCCCAAGTCATTATCTAGGAAAGAAACAAGATTCAGATCATTCAGTGACAAAAAAAATCCATAATTAATAAGAATAATTGATAAGCATTTGATAACATGTCTCATCACATCGCCAAGACATCTCTTAGCACTTTGCAGAAGTGTAATAAAGTAAGCGACTGTATTTGATGAAAACAATTTGCGCACAGCAAAGTCCATCAATTAATTGTGGAATGCAGGTAAATGATAAAAGTCAAAAATGCAATGGCCAGGGGCCAGGGCAACATAACGGCTGAGTTGTAGAAACATGAAGATTAACTTCTATAATCATTAATCCCAAAAAATCCAGGTTTAAATCTTAATACAGTCTGTCACTTCTGTCAAGAAATTTACAAATACTGACAAAGTGGAATGTTCAACTTTTGCAAAACAAGCGTATTTTCTAATGGGAAATTTGCAGGCGAAGTGATGGTGATGGAATTACTCTGACCTGCTTTGCTTGACTTTGCTGACCAAATAAGATGCTGTACTTTGTATAGCAGCTAACAAAATTTTTAAACTACTGTGTTCCACTGGCTGATCCTTTTTTCCTACAAAACAAGAGAGCAAAGCACCTCAAGTATTGAGCAACCACACGTGTCATATTGGGATTTAACTGTGATATATCTTGACAAGCAAGATTACTGTTATATTCTTGCTTACAGGACAGGCACCTCAACCCAATTCCTTTCCCTCTTATTCTCCCTGGCTGTAAATCCCTCTACTGTCTCCCGACACACCCGCGCACACATATATCTCTTCAACCCTACCGACCTGGCTGCTCCCTTCACTCAGCCTGCTTCATGCCCCTTTCCTATGATGGAATGACTGGGCAAAATGCATCTCTGACAACTTGTTTCAACTCCTCCGTAGTTTCATATCGCTGTTTGCAACAGGAGAACTTTGCGGACACCCTGTAGTTAATACAACTGCATTCTGTTTCAATTTAATCCACCGCCTCCCAGGGTTCCCATTTGAAATACGATAACAATTATTTTTCCACTCACAAATAGCAACTCACAAACTTCATATCTTCCACTAAAAGGGATCGGAAGTTGATTTCCTTTACACCCTTCAGTCACGTAGGCTCTGACAAGAATCTACACTATTATGTCACACCCATACTGTTTACACAAATGTAAATATTTGGGAAAGTGCTCAAGTAATCTTAGCGCTACTTTTGAGCATGTTGAAGCAACTTTCTCAATTCATATGCGTCACATTTTCCTTCCTTCCATCTACACCGTGCCTTTGCTCTCCCTCCCACCTCTCTGCCTTCCCTCATGCTCGGGCCCCGACACCTGACTGTTCAGCGCTTTGGGACGTCCTCCCGACATGAAAGGCGCTCTATAAATGTAATTTTGTTGTTGTAGTTCAGAGCCGATGGTCTTACAGTTCAGCAGGTACTCTTTCATTGTATCTTTCTTCGCGACATTACAGTTTATTTAATCTAAACTAGAATTGAAAAAACGTTTATCACTACAATCTGTAGTAATTCAAGGCTCAAAAGGGCACCGTTACTGTCCAAAGGTAGCAGTGATGCATCTATACTGCGGCAACTGTGCCAAGAACCACTGAATACATGAATTATCCCTCTTATGGAAAAGTTTACGACATTTGTTTAAGGTTGCGTACCATTAGCAAGCTCATTCATTTGTTTTGCTCAAAAGAGGCCAAATACTTTGTTGTTAAACTTATATTTCCAAATGGCACCAACCAAAGTATGCTAACTGCTTTATCCTAGGCTGTTGATGCAATGGAATCGGTCATACTTACAATATGGTGCAGATTCCACAACAGAATAAACAAATTGCATAAACAAATTGCATAAACAACATAAAAATTGCAAAATTAATTTCCAGTTCCAAGGCCACACTGATCTTAGGAATGTCTGTAAAAGCAGATCAACAACTACTGTCACATTTACCTGACAGCCACGTCCCAGCAGTGTTCCCAGTTATGGAATGATTTCAGCCTCTAACCTTTACCTCAGAAAGTGCTCAATATCTTTTCATTAAGCACTATTCTCTGTGTGTGTCTGTGTGTGTGTCTCTGTGTGTGTGTGTCTCTCTGTGTCTATCTGTGTGTGTCTCTCTCTCTGTGTGTCTCTCTCTCTGTGTGTGTGTCTGTGTGTGTCTCTCTCTCTCTCTGTGTCTCTCTGTGTGTCTCTCTGTGTGTCTCTCTCTCTCTGTGTGTCTCTGTGTGTGTGTCTGTGTGTGTGTCTCTCTCTCTGTGTGTCTCTGTGTGTGTGTGTCTGTGTGTGTGTCTCTCTCTGTGTGTGTGTGTGTGTGTGTGTGTCTGTGTGTGTCTCTCTCTCTGTGTGTCTCTGTGTGTGTGTGTCTGTGTGTGTCTCTCTCTCTCTCTGTGTCTCTGTGTGTGTGTCTGTGTCTCTCTCTCTCTGTGTGTGTGTGTGTGTCTGTGTGTGTGTGTCTCTCTCTCTGTGTGTGTGTGTGTGTGTCTCTCTCTCTCTCTCTCTGTGTGTCTGTGTGTCTCTCTCTCTCTCTCTCTGTGTCTCTGTGTGTGTGTGTCTGTGTTTGTGTCTGTGTGTCTCTCTGTGTGTGTCTGTGTGTGTGTGTGTCTCTCTCTCTGTGTGTCTCTGTGTGTGTGAGAGAGTAACTGATTGGCAGCGATCAGTCACCGTGCCCTCCGCTCCCCAGGGAGGGAAAGGTCCAGCTGTTGTGAGGCTGAGAGAGCGAGGGGCGGCCCCGGGGAAGCCTCCCCATGAGCAACGCGGTGCCGGTCACCGCACTCCGGTCGCCTTACCGTCAGCGCCTCTCCCGGTGCCGGAGCCTCTCTCTCCCCCTGTCCTGACCCCTCCCTCTCCCCCTGTGCTCTCTCTCCCTCTCCCCCTGTCCTCTCTCTCTCTCTCCCCCTGTTCTCTCCCCCTGTCCTCTCCCTCTCTCTCTCTCTCCCCCTGTCCTCTCCCTCCCTCTCCCCCTCTCTCTCTCCCTGTCGTGGCCGCTCGGGGCCGCGAGGAGACGCTCTCCTCCCGCTTCGCTTTTTATACCGTCAAACCCCACCTGCGCACCAGGAACCGCGACCGCCCATCAAACGCCTCCACCTCACTACCGCCCCCCAGTCTGGAGGGCCTCCACCTCACTACCGCCCCCCAGACTGGAGGGCCTCCACCGCACTGCCGCCCCCCAGACTGGAGGGCCTCCACCAGCACCAGCAACACCACCACCAACAGCAACAACAATACCACCACCAACAACAACAGCAACAACACCAGCACCAACAACAACAGCAACAGCACCAACAACAACACCAACACCACCACCAACAGCACCACCACCAACAGCAACAACAGCGCCAACAACAACACCAACAGCACCACCAACAACAACACCACCAACACTAACACCAACAACACCACCACAACCATCACCACCACCGCTAACACCAACAACACCACCACCACAACCATCACCAACACTAACACCAACAACACCACCACAACCATCACCACCACCGCTAACACCACCACCACAACCAACACTAACACCAACAACACCACCACAACCATCACCACCACCGCTAACACCAACAACAACACCACCACCACAACCACCACCAACACTAACAACAACACCACCACCACAACCATCACCAACACTAACACCAACAACACCACCACAACCATCACCACCACCGCTAACACCACCACCACAACCACCACCAACACTAACACCAACAACACCACCACAACCATCACCACCACCGCTAACACCAACAACAACACCACCACCACAACCACCACCAACACTAACAACAACACCACCACCACAACCATCACCAAAAACACTAACACCAACAACAACACCACCACCACAACCATCACCAACAACACTAACACCAACACTAACACCAACACCACCACAATCATCATCATCAACAACAACACTAACACCAACATCCCTACCACTACCACCAACACTAACACTACCAACAACAACAACACCACAACCATCACCAACAACACTAACACCAACACCACCACCACTAACACCACCAACACCACCAACAACAACACTAACACCACCACCACCAATACTAACACCATCAACAACAATACCACCAACAGCACTAACACCAATACCACCAACACCAACACTAGCACCACCAAAACCAACACTAGTAATAATAATACTTGCATTTGATATAGCGCTTTTTCACGTCTTCTAGACCACTCAAGGCGCTTCACAGAGTATACTGTATTTGTGGGCAAAATGCGGCAGCCAATTGCGCACAGGAATGTCCCACAAACAAGCATGGATTGAAGTGACCAATTTTATTATTGTTTTTTTGAAGGATTATTATCAGGCATGTGGAGTAAGGAAACTTGCCCAAGGTTTTGCCCTGCCGGGAATCGAACCCAGGTCTCTCGCTTGCAAGGCGAGTCATCTAATCACTGAGCTACAGGACTTCTAACACCACCACCAACAACACCACCAACAGCAAAATTACATTTGTAGCGCACCTTTCATGTTGGGAGGATGTCCCAAGGCGCTGGACAATCAGTGTTTCAGACCTGAGCTGGGTGTCAGGATTGGGGAGGGTAGAAAGCAGGGGAGGGAGGAAGGAGGATGACTGAAAGTATGGTCAAAGAGGAGCGTCTTGAGACGGGTCTTGAAGGAGGCAAGGGAGGGGGAGAGGCGGAAGGACTGCGGGATGGAGTTCCAGAGGGTGGGGTTGAGGGTAGCTGAAGGCCAATGGTGGGGTGGGCGAGGGACATGAAGCAGGCCGGAGCTCATTGAATGGAGGTAGGTTGGTAGGCATTAGAAGGTCGCAGCGATAGGGGGAGCAACTTAATAATAATAATAAAACTTGCATTTCATACAGCACCTTATCATGTCATTGAGACATTTCAAAGTGCTTCACAGGATAAAATGAATTGACTGCGTACTTTGTAGGTGAAACACGCAGCCAATTGCATACAGCTATGCTCCACAAACAGTCGTGGATTGAGTGACCAAATTATGATTTTTTTGGGAGGGATTATTAACCCCTGGAAAAGCGATCTGCCAATCAACTAACAACTGGGTTCCTTCTTACTGCTATGTAAAGAGGTGTGGAGTAAGGAAACTTGCCTAAAGTTTCGCCAGAGCCAGGAATCGGACCAAGCTCCTCTCGTGTACGAGGCAAGTGCTCTTACTCTTACATAGCACTATTCCTTCTGGGTAAATTCTAGGAGCACTTACAGTGGAGGGCCTGATGTCAAACCAGGTAAGCATGGTAGAAGAGGAAGGTCTTCAGGTGTGATCTGAAAATAGGGAAGGAGGAGGCGAGGCGGAGGGATTCAAGGAGAAGCTCCAAAGTGTGAGGGCATACTGGCTGAAAGCACGGCTACCGATGGGGGAGCGAAGAGGATGAGGGATAAGCAGGTGGCTGGAGCCAGCTGAGTGGAGGTGGTGGGTGGCGGAGTAAGCAGATCGGAGAGGTAACGAGGTCCTAGGGTTTGTAGACGAGAGTGAGGATCTTGAACTCGATCCGTTCTGTGATCTGGAACCAGTGGAGCCTGGCAAGGACGTGTATGATAGAAGTACGGATTTAAAGAGGATGAGTGTATGGGTGGGAGAGTTTTGAATTAGTTGGTTGGGATGTGGAGTAACCTCCAAGTAGGGTGGTGGAGGCAGAGTCCATTGTAACCATTGTGGACAGGCATATGCAAATATGCAAGAGAAGGGCTTGAAAGGGTATTGCGATAAGGTAGCGATTCAATTGATCTCATTTGCTCTATCAGCTGGTGCGGACTCATTGAGCCGAATGTCTTTCTACTGCACTGTAGAGTACTCCGTTTCTGTAGTGATCAAGAACAACAATTGTATTGGTATAGTGCCCTGCTCAGAGCTGAAAGAACCCAACTTATTTTCCCTTAAGGTAACTAGCACGGAAAAGAACCCTAGAAATCTGCTTGAGGTCTGCTCATATAACACAAATTGGACCCTGGAATCTTTCAAGTCTGCGAGTGTACAATATTAACCTCTTTAAAATAATGTTATAGAACAGGGGAGTTTAAGCTTTGTACTGATTATATCCCGATCTACCCCTATCTTGTTTAAATGAAGAATAAATTCCATAATTCTGCAATAAACATGTTTAAGTTGGTAAAAGTCCTTATTTAATCACCAATTAATAGTCAATGATTGATTTAAGATTTATCGTTAACCTTAGTTCACTATCTTAGTAAGATATAGATAAAAGGACAGCACAAAACCACATAGCTCAGCTATGTAACCTGCAATGAACCCCACAATTTGTGAAGGTTATGGGTACTTGTGATAGATGTAGGCACTTTTCACAGTTGGGAAGCAATAAGGACGTTGACCTGTGCTTTCATTTTTCTCTCTGTGTTAGTATGGCTTGTTAACCATAAATACATTATACAGTATTATTTTTGACCGATAACAAGACCCATGTATTAACCAATCACACCAAATGTATTGAAAGAAAAACAATGAAAGCAAATATACATAAAATGTAATAAATAATATTAGCCGTGAACTCCAAGTATTGTAACATACCAAATAAGGTTATGAACAGAATAAACAAAAATAATAATAATCCAGAAGAGAGCAGGTAACCTTAGTTTCTCTGTATTTGAAGGCTCCATACATCTGTCCCAAGCTTCTGCGACATCGGACCACGAAAATCCTCATTCCCCTCAACACGGTCAGCCGTCATTTCAATCAGTGGTGTTATAACTACAGCATCTGCTGAAAGGCAGAAAGTGACCATACAAAATAAAACACAACTACAGCAAAACACTGAAGTCACAGGAGTGCATAAAGCAGAACACTGCACGTTTACACACCAATATATGCACAGTATCAGTTTCTGCGCTGGCCCTCTAAAAGGGTTACTTATTCAATCCTATCTCTTCCACATACACCTTAATACTCTATGCCCACTTTTCAAATTTTTGTCCATTTCCCCTCCAAAAGCTATTATGGATTCTGCTTCAATCAGGATTTGGGCAAGAATTTCCATCTCAACAACCCTCTGAGTAAAAAGAACTCTCCTATCCAAACCATTAGCTTCTTTAGTAATGTTTAGTAGTGTGTTCTTATTTATTAAAGACATCTCTTTTGAATATTTCTAATTAAGTCTCCTGATAGGGCTCTTCAGTCTTAAAGGCAATCCTATAGAGGTGAATAAAAAATTGAAATGGGTTTGAAAAACTACTCAAGATAATACTTTAGAATGCATGAAGTTCATAAGACAAGAGTACACAAGTTTATAGAGTTGTAAAGGGTATTGTCAGGTCAGACATCAGGAAGTTTATTCAGGGTAATTAAAACTGGAACAGGTTGCCAGGAAGAATACTTTAGAATGCATGAAGTTCATAAGACAAGAGTACACAAGTTTATAGAGTTGTAAAAGGGTATTGTCAGGTCAGACATCAGGAAGTTTATTCAGGGCAATTAAAACTGGAACAGGTTGCCAGGAAGGGTGGTTGAGGCCAGGACACTAGACTCATTTAAAAAACACAAAGCTTAATGCTGTGATAGGAAGACAGTAAGATGAGTATTCTGGAAAGATAAAATGAGCTGAAGTGCCTTCTTCATCCAAAAAACAGCCCCCACCAATCTGTCCAGTTTCTTTTCAAACCATCATTCTGGTAAATCTCCTGGTTACAGATTTTTACAGCACAGATGAAAGCCATTTAGCATTTTGACCGTGCCAGCGGTGTGGAAAAGCTGAGGTTCTTCTGTGCTCAAAGCCTTTCAGAGGAATGATCAACAGCAAGTCCAGCTCCAGTGGACATGTTTGCACCTCCAGCCAAGCGTGGTCAGAAATTAAAATAAGTTTGTAGCCCAAAATCTACCAAATACTAGCCTAAAGTAGCCCAATATTGTGAGTTGCCTCCTAATGGGCAGCAGAGTGGCAATCAAATTTAGTGCTTTTGAAACTGTGTGAGAAAACAACAACAATAATCCTTGCATTTGACTTAGCGACTTATCACATCGACGAGACGTCTCCAAAGCCCTTCACAGACTACGCCGTAAAGCGGAGTGACTGTGGGTTTCGCGGGCGAACCGCGGCGGCCAACGGACTGCAGCGGCCCCCAACCCGGGGTGGAGCGAGCGGCCGGACCGATAGGGTTTGTTTTGAAGGGATTGTTATCCCTCGGAGGAGCGGTCCGCCCCCCGCCGACCCCGGCTCACAACTGGGCACACAGAGGCCTGGGGAGTAAGGGGGGGGGGTGGGGGGGGGGAAGAGAAAAAAAAAACATATTTTGCAGACTTTAAGCTCACAGGTTAATAATCAGACGCCCTGTGCACTGACTGCAGGAACCAGACCCATCACCTGCCAACACTGGGCGGAGCCCGAGCGCCATCCCTTTTGCGGCAGTGGGGCAGGCTGTCGTAAAGTGTGCTGCCCGGCCGGCAGGGCGAGCGTCTGGGTAACGCCGCCGTAAAGCGGTCGCTATGCGAATGACGCGGACCGAGGCGCGTGACCGCGGCCTGTGGTGATAGAGGAAGCCCGGGCCAGGCCGGAGCGGGGGCAGCGGGCAGAGCGGAGCAGCGGGCAGGGCAGGGGAGGGCAGGGGAGAGGGGGCAGTCTGCCGGGCGGGGGATGCCGAGCACAGCCATGAAGAAAAAGGTACGGCGGCGAGTGACAACCGTAGCAATCAGCCCCCGCGACCCCCGCTCGGGGGAAAGGGAGGGGGGGGGCTGGACAAGGGTGAGGTTACCAGGGGCAACGGCGACAGGAATCTGAGGGGAACCAGGAGCGGGGCAGTGGGGGCGACCGGGGCAACAGCGAGGGGTGACTGGGGAAGAGGGGGGAGGGACCCGCGCTCTGTTCCCTGCATAACCCTCATTGCTGTCACTCTCTATCTCTCCCTCTCTCATTGCTGTCACTCTCTAACTCTCTCTCATTGCTGACACTCTCTCTCTCTCCCTCTCTCATTGCTATCTCTCTCTCCCTCTCTCTCATTGCTGTCACTCTCTCTCTCCCTCTCTCTCATTGCTATCTCTCTCTCTCCCTCTCTCTCATTGCTATCTCTCTCTCCCTCTCTCTCATTGCTGTCACTCTCTCTCTCCCTCTCTCTCATTGCTATCTCTCTCTCTCCCTCTCTCTCATTGCTGTCACTCTCTCCCTCTCTCTCATTGCTGTCACTCTCTCCCTCTCTCTCATTGCTATCTCTCTCTCTCTCATTGCTATCTCTCTCTCTCCCTCTCTCTCATTGCTGTCACTCTCTCCCTCTCTCTCATTGCTGTCACTCTCTCCCTCTCTCTCATTGCTGTCACTCTCCCTCTCTCTCTCATTGCTATCTCTCTCTCTCCCTCTCTCTCTCATTGCTGTCACTCTCTCTCTCCCTCTCTCTCATTGCTGTCACTCTCTAACTCTCTCTCATTGCTGTCACTCTCTCTCTCATTGTTGTCACTCTCTCTCTCTCTCATTGCTATCTCTCTCTCCCTCTCTCTCTCATTGCAGTCACTCTCTCTCTCATTGCTGTCACTCTCTCTCTCCCTCTCTCATTGCTGTCATTCTCTCTCTCCCTCTCTCATTGCTGTCACTCTCTCTCTCCCTCTCTCATTGCTGTCACTCTCTCCCTCTCTCTCTCATTGCTATCTCTCTCTCTCCCTCTCTCTCTCATTGCTGTCACTCTCTCTCTCTCATTGCTGTCACTCTCTCTCTCCCTCTTTCATTGCTGTCACTCTCTCCCTCTCTCATTGCTATCTCTCTCTCCCTCTCTCTCATTGCTGTCACTCTCTCTCTCCCTCTCTCTCATTGCTGTCACTCCCTCTCTCTCTCATTGCTGTCATTCTCTCTCTCCCTCTCTCATTGCTGTCATTCTCTCTCTCCATCTCTCATTGCTGTCACTCTCTCTCTCCCTCTCTCATTGCTGTCACTCTCTCTCTCCCTCTCTCTCTCTCGTTGCTATCTCTCTCTCTCCCTCTCTCTCTCATTGCTGTTACTCTCTCTCTCTCTCTCATTGCTGTCACTCTCTCCCTCTCTCATTGCTATCTCTCTCTCCCTCTCTCTCATTGCTGTCACTCTCTCTCTCCCTCTCTCTCTCATTGCTGTCACTCTCTCTCTCCCTCTCTCATTGCTGTCACTCTCCCTCTCTCTCATTGCTGTCACTCTCTCCCTCTCTCATTGCTGTCACTCTCTCCCTCTCGCTCTCATTGCTATCTCTCTCTCCCTCTCTCTCTCATTGCTGTCACTCTCTCTCTCATTGCTGTCACTCTCTCTCTCCCTCTCTCATTGCTGTCACTCTCTCCCTCTCTCTCATTGCTGTCACTCTCTCCCTCTCTCATTGCTATCCCTCTCTCCCTCTCTCTCATTGCTGTCACTCTCTCTCTCCCTCTCTCTCTCATTGCTGTCACTCTCTCCCTCTCTCATTGCTATCTCTCTCTCTCCCTCTCTCTCTCTCATTGCTATCTCTCTCTCTCTCATTGCTATCTCTCTCTCTCTCCCTCTCTCTCATTGCTCTCACTCTCTCTCTCATTGCAATCTCTCTCTCTCCCTCTCTCTCATTGCTATCACTCTCTCCCTCTTTCTCATTGCTATCACATTTTCTCTTATTGCTATCATTCTCTCTCATTGCTCTCTCTCACTTTCTTTCTCACTCTCATTGCTATCACTCTCTCTCTCCCTATCTTTCATTGCTATCTCTTTCTTCCTCTCTCTCATTGCTGTCACTCTCTCTCCCTCTCTCTCATTGCTGTCACTCTCTGTCTCCCTCTCTCTCATTGCTGTCACTCTCCCTCTCTCTCATTGCTGTCACTCTCTCCCTCTCTCTCATTGCTATCTCTCTCTCTCTCATTGCTATCTCTCTCTCTCTCATTGCTATCTCTCTCTCTCTCCCTCTCTCTCATTGCTATCACTCTCTCTCTCTCTCATTGCTATCTCTCTCTCTCCCTCTCTCTCATTGCTATCACTCTCTCCCTCTCTCTCATTGCTATCACATTTTCTCTCATTGCTATCATTCTCTCTCATTGCTCTCTCTCACTTTCTTTCTCACTCTCATTGCTATCACTCTCTCTCTCTCCCTATCTCTCATTGCTATCACTCTCTCTCTCTCCCTATCTCTCATTGCTATCTCTCTCTCTCTCATTGCTATCTTTCTCTCTCCCTCTCTCATTGCTATCTCTTTCTCCCACTCTCTCATTGCTGTCACTCTCTCTCCCTCTCTCTCATTGCTATCACTCTCTCTCTCTCATTGCTATCTCTCTCTCCCCCTCTCTCATTGCTATCTCTCTCTCCCTCCCTCTCTCATTGCTATCTCTCTCTCCCCCTCTCTCTCTCCCCCTCTCTCTCATTGCTATCACTCTCTCTCATTGCTATCTCTCTCTCCCTCTCTCTCATTGCTATCTCTCTCTCTCTCTCCCTCTCTCTCATTGCTATCACTCTCTCTCTCTCTCTCGTTGCTATCTCTCTCTCCCTCTCTCTCATTGCTATCACTCTCTCTCTCATTGCTATCTCCCTCTCTCCCTCTCTCATTGCTCCCTCTCTCTTTCTCACTCTCATTGCTATCACTCTCTCATTGCTCTCTCTTTCTCACTCTCATTGCTATCTCTCTCTCCCTCTTTCTCATTGCTATCACATTCTCTCTCATTGCTCTCTCTCTCTCCCTCTCTCATTGCTATCACTCTCTCTCATTGCTCTCTCTTTCTTTCTCACTCTCATTGCTACCACTCTCTCTCTCCCTCTCTCTAATTGCTATCTCTCTCTCATTATTTCGCTCTCTCTCATTGCTATCACTCTCATTGCTATCACTCTCTCATTGCTATCACTCTCTCATTGCTGTCACTTTTTCTCTCATTGCTGTCACTCTCATTGCTGTCACTCGCTTTCTCATCGCTGTCACTCGCTTTCTCATCGCTGTCACTCCCTCTCTCATTGCTGTCACTCCCTCTCATTGCTGTCACTCTCTCTCTCGTTGCTGTCACTCTCCCTCTCTCTCATTGCTGTCACTCTCCCTCTCTCTCATTGCTGTCACTCTCCCTCTCTTTCATTGCTGTCATCCTCACATTATGTCATTCTCTCTCATTTCTGTCACTCACATTATGTCTTATTGCTGTCACTCTCGCTCACACTTTCATTGTTGTCACTCACTAATGTCACTCACTCATTGCGGTCACTCTTCAACACTTTCCCTGCAGTCAGTGTTACACTTTCTCTCATCTGTTGTCACTCTCACTCTCTTAATGGTATCACTTTCATTCAATGATAATAATAATCCTGGCATTTGATATAGCGCTTTTCACGTCTTCGAGACGTCTCAAAGCACTTCACAGAATATACTGTGAAGTCAATTTGTGGGTGAAGTGGTGTCACTCTCTCTCGCACAATCTCATTGCTGTTGCTCTTCGTGCTCTCTCATTGCTGTCAATCTCGCACTTTCATTGTGGTCACTGTCACCCTTTCTCTCACTGCTGTCACTCTTACTGTCTTCCATTGCTGTCACTCCCGCAAACTCATTGATATCACTGTCTCGTTGCTCTCACATTCTCCCTCGTTGCTCTCACATTCTCCCTCGTTACTCTCACATTCTCCTTCGTTGCTCTCGCGCTCTCTCTTGTTGCTCTCGCGCTCTCTCTTGTTGCTCTCGCGCCCTCTCTCTCGTTGCTCTCGCGCTCTCTCTCGTTGCCCTCTCGCCCTCTCTCTCGTTGCCTTCTCGCCCTCTGTCTCGTTGCCCTCTCGCGCGCTTGCTCCCTGTCTCGTTGCCCTCTCGCGCGCTCGCTCCCTGTCTCGTTGCCCTCTCGCGCGCTCGCTCCCTGTCTCGTTGCTGTCTCGCGCGCTCGTTCCCTGTCTCGTTGCCCTCTCGCGCGCTCGCTCTCTGTCTCCCTCTCGCGCGCTCGCTCTCTGTCTCCCTCTCGCGCGCTCGCTCTCTGTCTCGTTGCCCTCTCGCTCTCTTTCCCTGCCCCTCTCTCTCTTTCCCTGCCCTCGTTCTCTCTCTCTCGCTGCCCTCACAGGCTCCCTCTCTCTCACTGCCCTCGTTCTCTCTCTCTCGCTGCCCTCTTTCTCTTGCTCTCTCGCTGCCCTCGCGCGCTCTCTCGCTGCCCTCGCTCTCTCTCTCTCTATCTGCCCTCGCTCGGGTTCTCTCTCTCGCTGCCCTCGCGTGCACACTCTCTCTCTCTCGCTGCCCTCGCGTGCACACTCTCTCTCTCTCGCTGCCCTCGCGTGCACACTCTCTCTCTCTCGCTGCCCTCGCATGCACACTCTCTCTCTCCCTCACGTGCACACTGTCTCTCGCTGCCCTCACGTGCACACTCTCTCTCTCTCTCGCTGCCCTCGCGCGCGCTCTCTCTCTGTCGTTGCTCTCTCTCTCTCTCGTTGCTCTCTCTCTCGTTGCTCTCTTTCTCCCATTGCTCTCTCTCTCGTTGCTCTCGCTCTCTCGTTGCTTTCTTTCTCGTTGCTCTCGTTCTCTCGTTGCTTTCTCTCTCGTTGCTCTCTCTCTCGTTGCTCTCTCTCTCTCTCTCATTGCTCTCTCTCATTCTCTCTCTCGTTGCTCTCATTCTCTCTCTCGTTGCTCTCATTCTCTCTCTCGTTGCTCTCTCTCTCTCGTGGCGCTATTGTGACTCGTTCTCGTTGCTCTCTCTCTCTCGTTGCTCTGTCTCTCTCATTGCTCTCTCGTTGCTCTCTCTCTC